CTATCTCAATAATTAAATTATAGGTGATTAAGTCTTACACAAGTCTTAATTCGTAACAATTGGAAATAAATATTTATGCGTTTAAGAGAAACAATATTACTTAATTTCTTATTATGCGATGACTGACGAGGAAGTCATTGCAAGCCATCAAACTGAAGCTTAGAGAGTAAAAGCAGTTGTGTTACATTAGAACATTTGTAATATGTTTAATGGATATGCACATTATATTTATTTCATAGTAGTTATAAAGATACTTTAGTTACAATGCGGAAACAATTATGTTGTTTATGCAAATGTAATGAAGGGACTATGAACATCTCGCTATACTTGCTTATACAATAATAATAATAAAAATGTGTTTACAATTAATTAATAATATCGCTTTATGTCTATGTCTTTCTACTGTTAGAAAGACATACGTTATTTGCTATAATGTATTAATTTATTGTACTTATATACCTGTAGAATAAAATTATTAATTAAATGTTTCATAGTTGTTGTAAGTATAACAAAATAAACTGTATCTCGCATTGCACATTGTCATAGACAAATCATAAGTATAGTGGCATATAAAATCTGATTAATACTATAATAAATGGTGTAATATCGTTTCGTGCACGAAACTCTTAATATCATCTTAGGTTAGACTTTTAACTTGCTATTTAAGGTTTTTTCGTATACGTGTCTTTTTTCGTAGCATTTATGGTCAAAAATTAGCTTTCCCTCGTAAAATTTAGAATTTGTTTGCCAACATAACCGGACTCTCCTACGCTTCGTTACCAAATTGATGTAACGAGACCATAGTTGCCATAACTTAACTCCAAATAAATCTTATTTCGTTTCACTTCTGTTTATGATTGATATATGAGTTTTTATTAGTTTCCAAACAAACGAGCACCAAATACAGTTAAGAGTTTCGTAATAACTTTGAACCGATGCAGATGGCAGCCTGGTGATATGAGGAATTCCTCAGTCCTAGACGTGAATCCTACGAAGTATTTAGAACTTCGAGTGTTACTGGAATCTGGAGTTACTGTAATTTGGTATCTAAAATTATACGCGGTAAAGTCTGTAAGATGATATTTCAAAATGCAAAGTTTCAAAAAGGTAAATTTTCTCAGCGAAATTTATCCTAACATCGCTAGCCTTTTCAGATTGATCTGACAAATTCGTCAGCATGCTAGTTTTCTCAAATGCTAGTCTCGATGTAGATTTCATTATGAGCTTCTACCGCGTTCTCAAATAATAAATAGTAACTTTACACTGGCATTTCCCTCGATAGGCCAGTCAATATCGTTTCTATAGATTCAATTTAAATTCAAAGTGCAGGTAAAAATATCTTTTTGAATGTTGTAGTTCTAAAATTATGAAAATATTCATCACCTACAACACAATAAACAAAAACAACATCATATGCTTAACTATTATGTTAGACATATATAATGTGAAATCTCGTGTTGCGTTAACAAAACTCTTAATAGGAATTAAGTATTTCATCACGTTTCGCATTTGAAACACGTCGAAGAAATCTAGTTTCATTATTAACAACTAACCTAAGCTTTCTCCTGACCTGTGGCATAATTACGAAACTCCCCTACAGTTGTGTTTTCTTTTCGAAGAAAAATTGTAGATTCTAGAACGATTATGGTAGTGGGTCAGAGGTTAGTGGGGTTAATCAAATATATCATTATCTTTTTCGTTAGGTACGCAACAGTTTTATGATATGTAGACGTTGGCGTAAGAAACAGTGGCTTATGTAAGCGTTCAAAACACAAATTGGAATATGTTTTTAAAGTCTTTCTCAATTCGCATATCTTCTATTTTGGAAGTAAAGCCCATTAATTAGCAAAAACTTTACTTCAATTTTAATATAAATATAATAACTCATATCGTATATATATATAGTTACTAACAAATATATCGATTTGCAAATTATTTCAGTGTTTGTACATATGTGACTTCTCAATTACTTCTTTTTAAAAATGAGGTATCTAAACTTTATCTTTAATATACTTTAATGTTATCGTCCGGATAAGTACCACGAACTCACAGAAGACCGGCGTAAAGTGGAAGTATAATACTGAGTGAGGTAGCTGGAGCCCAATTTTGAAATGGTTGTCAACGCATCTACAAACCGTCGGATGTAGCAGATGTCCATGGGCGGTGGCATTCACTTAACATCAGGTGAACCACCTGCTCGCTTTGCAACTTTTCACATAAAAAAAAACCAAAAGGCGATTTCATAAAAATAGCATAGAATTTGTTAATTATTAAAATATTATAATCTTTATATATAGTTAAGTGTAAAATCAACACCTAATTATTTATTATATTACGTTGCATATACTATATCACGCATACGTGGGTGTAAATATATTAAAAGTTTATATTAAATTATAAATATTTTACCAAATATTTATTAAATTTCGTTAATTAGTTCAGAAGTCATTATATTCGTTTTAAAGTGAAACGCTTAAATCTAAATTTAACTAGTGTACCGGGCAGACGTTGTCCTGTATACGCGACTTCAATTCGACAACTTTGAAATAAAAAAAAATTGTAGCGGACCGAATTGTGAATCTAAACCATTCTCGAATCGACACGAAGACACAAAAATTTTCATTAAAATCGGTCCAGCCGTTTAGGAAAGTTCAGTAACATATACACGTACAGTAGAAATAAGTATATAAAGTGATAAATATAAATATGTGTCATAACATTCATTTACATAACGAGTATATATAAAATTGAGTGCAAATCTCAATTCTTAAAAACAAATATACATATAGTTCCACTCCTACACTTCAATTAGCCACATAGGTCTCCCCCACAAACCGCCCCGATCCTGCGCCATCGACTTCCAGCTCTCGAGAATCTTTTTTCCCCATCGGTTGTCCGTTTTTCGACCTATTTGCGGGCAAATTGCCGCTCCAGCTTACTAAGCCTCTGAGCTACATATGCCAGTTATCTTTGTTTTACTGCGGTCCCAGTCAGATAATAGCTACCGATCGAGCTGAGGTCCGGCCCTCTCGGGCACCCTCGAATCGGAATGCTAAACGCGTGTTGAGTGACAGCCCAACCGAGGTCCCCTCTCGGGGACCCTTGAGCCTGATCACTCCATGGAGCGCCCGCCAAAGCGCCCTAAGAGCTTGGCGGCCTCCAAAACCGGTGATAATAATAGCGTGACGGCCCGAGCCGAGGCTCCCCCGGGAGCCCTCGAGCTTAGTCACCATAACGCATAATAATAATACGCCGAGGTTCAGGCTAGGCGCCTCGTGCGCCAGGCCACCTCAAGCCCGTCGAAACTGTAAAGACCCCTAAAGCCAACAGTGGCTCAAACAGCCCAAAAAAAAATCCTCATTGCGAACTCTATCAAGAAGACAAATACCGACAATATCCTGCTCCATGGCCCGCTGAGTGACTTTGAGCTTCCTAATACGGTCAGCAGTGAAGAACCAAGTCTCAGTTATTGAATTCTCATATTACATATAACTTTATCACCCTTACTATTTTTGAGAGCAATAAAATATGTAAAAAGAGTATTAAAATCGACAAACCTAGTTAATCATATATTACCTGGGACAACGTACTGCAAGAATTAAGATGAAATTCTAAAAATGCATTCAATCTCGTTAGAAAATAAGTAAAACCGGCTTCGACTAGCGGAGCTTCGGCATAATAAATTGTTAACAGTATTTGAGCCCGCCTCGGCTAAATAACACAATTCATCAACTACAATATTCGATTATGTTTAAACACTGGCTAAAAAAATGTTTTCGAAGTTAGTCAGCGGTGTTACAGTTTTTATAACAAAGCCACTAGTCTATTTGGAATAATTTCGAGAGAAACTAAGGTAGATTTTAGTTATATCTAGTGTACATATGCATGTACCTATGTGCGTATACAACATCTATGAATACAATTTCTAACCTATCATATTAACATTTATAAATCATCCTGCTAGGTTTAAAAGAGTTAGGTTGTATTGTACAAACATTGACTTATTGATTTTGGTCATCATCGTCGTTACAATTTATCAAATCCTCTACTAACTATAGGCCACCTCAAAAGAACGCCACCAAGCATTTTTACTTTTAGTTTATAGTTACAGTTATGTAACTATAAATTTTCTGCTACGTTTTGTACTTCATCTTCTTATGAGGGATGGTGGCAAACGGGCAGGCGGTTCTACAAATATTAAGCCATAATCGCCGTTCCTGGACACATATAGCACTTGTGCGATAACTGACCCGTTGACAGCCTTTACAAGTTTTGGCTCCTCGGAACATAGGCGAAACGCTAAAGCATGTTGCTCTTACTTGACGCCGGCTCTGTAAGGTCGTGGGCCTTTTCCACGACCTTCTTTTCTTACGATGTTGCTTACTTGCTTGCAACTGCGGAAGCTGCTCCATATTCTTACAGAAAAACCTATGTCTTAATTTTCAATTAAACTCGTTTTGATTAATAATCGCAGTAACGAATCGAAAACGAGTACAGGGGACCCCCGGTAAACTGGTCCCTGTCTATTCCGGCACCCCCTGTAATCCGGCATGCCTATCACTATTCAATGTTCGTTATCTAAATTTTATTCAAAGTAATGCCAAAATAGTAAGGAAAATTACTTGTTTAACGTTACTTCGTACAACTTGACAAATATTTTAATATGCTCTTACGATGCTACAGAAAGCTTTTGTCACGTCTAATAAATTGTCAGATGGACGAGAGAAATGCACAAAATGTCTTTTATATCCCTTATTCCCAAGCTGTTTATTTGTAATCACTTATAAAATAATACTTTATGACTCTTATTTCTTCTCTTATCTCTTCTCATTATTTTCATATACATATAATTTACGAAATTACTATTTTTTTAATAATATATAAATATATATGCCCAGCCATACCCGGTAATCGTAAACATTTTAAAGCATTATAAGACTAAGGAATTCCGTTTTCAATTTTCAGATGACCAAGAAGACCTCGCAGCGGAATCTTCAGAAATGATTACCGAAGCATTAGCACCACCACAGCACTACAGACAAGTGCAAAATGATCATGTCTCAGCTGCTGACCAAACAGATCATTCATTAGAAGTAATCGGCGAATCACAGAACTTCTTTCCAACTTTCGCAAACCTCTTCGAACCGCGGCATCAAAACAATTATAGAGTAGGATATGGCAGCCAAGAGGCCGCCTACAGTCAAAGGCCTAATTCTTTTAGATCTCTCCTCAACTACCCTATTTTTGGTGGATTTAATAGAAATGTTGAAACATTTGGTAAACAATCTACCGTCCCTGCAGCGCCACTGGTTGATGCCAGTGTACTGGGGTCAGGAAACTTTGGAATTATCAGAGGTGGCACGTTCTTTGCCCAAAATGACGAAGACCACGATTTCGATGACAGCTTTAGCTCTTACTACAACAACGGTCACGGGAGACCATCGCAAGGAGTAGGGTACATCGCAAACCCGAAACCAAATTACAACCAAGACCAATTCGCCAATTTTAGAGACTTCGCAGACTTAAACGCTCCCGCTAATTCAGCCTATTCCCATTTCGTTGTCGTATACGCCAATAAAAACGGAACAATGGATGAAATTAGTGAGGAAAGTAGACGAGTCGTATCTGAACCGCGAAATATTATAGAAACTCTTGAAAGATTGGATGATGTTAAAGCTCGTCCGAAAGTGTCGAAGTCTAAAGCGAAATTAGCAGCGACCAAACAGAAGATGGCCAGCAAAAAGGATCAATGGAAGAAAACAAATTCGAAACACGTAAGCCAAAAGCATGATCCAGAAGAACCACTATTAGCGTTAAGTTAAAGCTTAGTTTCATTCAAATTATACGGACTTATTAAGTGAAACTAGTGATAGGATATTGATGTGACACTAGGTCACTACGTGTTGTGACAAAAGAAGTTCACTGTCAAAATTTCCCGCTGGTTGTGTATGGCTGTGTGTATGTCGACTGGTTTTTAAGTAGATTGTATGTTTGACGTGTAAACGAAAGGTATTTTAATGTAAAATAAAGAAATAAATTAATTTTATAATGACATATGTTTGAATACTCTCCACTATTTGTGTATTACCCCTGCTGTTGCAAACCCTTCCTACAAGTAAACCGAAATTAAATGAATTGAAAATTCTTCCATTTTATTTATATATGAAAAACCAGATAGATAAAACTATCTATAAACAAAACATTAAATAATAAATGAATATCATATAAGCGCGTGATATTCATTTATAGTTTTCAATGAATGTATTTACTTACTATCCGTAAGTAAATGAAGTATGTCTCTGATAAGAGTCCAAGAGAGTTTTCAATAACTTACCGACTTTCCATCCTTAGCTGGATACAAAGCAACAAACTAATAATGGTATTGCCGTCGCAAATATTTCGATGAATATTATAAAAGCACATTGTTTTCCGAACAAAAATCAATGTTCAAATTTAAGTGTATTGGCAAACCACAGCCTTTATGTATCAAAACCACGCACGTGATATGCACAAATTTAGGCATGAAGATTATTATCAGTTTAAAGATGTTAAAGCAATTTTTTACGAAGAAAATATACAATAAATAGTACGATTTAGGGCCGAATATCTGGCAACTTTAACGCTAATTGGAATTTTCTTCTGTATTTATTTTCTAGACGTTTACTCAAATTACAAACCAAAAGAACCTAAGTACCTTGTTGAAACTGATCAGGAAATTTTATCATCATATCACCCATATTGCCAGAGCCCTTAATTTTTTACCTACATTAAGTAGTACATCTAGTACCGCATGTCCGATACTGAACTGACTGAGTCAGAGTTGCAAGTTAAAGTTTTTTTATAAGGATGTCATCAAAAAAAAATGAATGTACTTCTATGCATTTCAATCTAGCTTAAAAATTATTTTCTACAGTACCCATGGTTTATTTTAACCATGTACAACATTATGTACTTCCGCTCTGATATTATTTTGTTTTTAGGTTAAAACACAATATATTTAAATTGAAATTAAGATGTCTATCTATGATTTTGAAAAAAAGATTTTTTTTAATTTGTGTCTTTCTTTCCGGTTGCCTGCATGTCTGCTAGTTTGCTTGGTTCAATCTCAGATACGGCTTAGTTGATTTTGATGGTACTTTCAGTGAGAGAGAACTTTTCAGAGAATAATTTAAGTTGTCTTATTTACGCAATCCACCATTTTTGCAGTTAGTTAGGCAACAGTTTATCATACTCTATACATTTTCATTTGTTTAATAGCTCAAATGTGTTAGTTTAACTAGGTATTAATAATCCATTTGATGTCTCCTACAAAAAATCACCGAATCGACATACTTCAAGAACGACGAAAAAGATCCGAAGACGTCCGTAAACTAATGTAAACTGCTAAAAATGTAGGAAATTATTGGTACTTTCTGCAATAAATATCCCATTTGTAGGTTTTATGTACTGATCCGGAATAAATTTGTAATATATGTAAACACTTGGAACGGATGGGACTTGAATCGACTTAGCTCATCAGATCATGTTTGGCCCCTCAACAAATGAGGCTGAAACTGACCAAGGAGTTTTGATTTAAAAAAATTTGGAAACACTTGATCTCAAAGAAATAAAACATATTACTCAAATGTAACTAATTTTACGGATTTATCACGTTTATTTTTAATTTTAATTCCCAACGTTTCGAAACCTTTACAGTGTTCATGGTCACGGGACAGACTGAGGTGTTAGACGTCTGATAGTCATAGTAAACCCGGGCTACCGTCAGTTTTTGAATTATTAATTTTGTGTCCAATCTATGCAGAGGGAGCTAAGGGAGAGGGAGGGAGAGGGTTCGAAACGTCGGGAATTAAAATTAAAAATAAACGTGATAAATCCGTAAAATTTGTTCCTTTTATAATGTGTAATCGCGTAAATACAAAAAATTATGAATATTACTCAAAGTTCCTTCACAAAGATAAATTGAATTAAATCAAAAAACATTTTTTATTCTTCATCTTCTTCTTCTTTTCGTGTCGATGGCAATACCTATTCACACGGTATCGGCCCAAAATTCAACCACATGAATTGCACTATCAGCAGCATTCATCGGGCCCTCCCGCGGGCAATTGTTTAGGCACACAGGGCACGATGTCAAATGTTCCATAGTTTGGGAAACTGCACCACATTTGCACTCCAAGCTGGGACCGTCTGAGAATCCCCACCTGAACAGGTTCTCTTTTTGCTTCGCCCAACTTTCGTCCGAAGTCTATATAGTGACTTCCAAATCAGCTATGGCAACTCATATCCAGGCGGTAGTTTCTCAGACATGGGACAAAGTGGCTAGGGACATTGACACTTTCTTGCCACAGCCTGCATTTTTCCTTCAATCGGTCACTATCGTGAAGAGGAGACACGCACTTCATGAAACTTCTGCGGCTTTTCAGTCTTGGTGTAACAGGATCGTGACTAAACAGTGGATGGCGGGTGTCGCCCAGAATCTTGGTCTTTTCGTAAGAGCTTGCCACTGCTCTGGCACCACCGGGGGGGCTATTATGTTTTAGGAAACCTGTGATAATCCGACAGGTTTCGTTTAATGCTGTATCCACCAGTTTTGCATGGGCTGAACGGCTCCAAACTGGACCAGCATATTCGCCTGCACAGAAGGAAAATGCCAGACCAATGTTTAGAAGAACACCAGGAGAAACTCCCGAATTCAACGCAACCAGACGGCGCAAGAGGTTGTTTCTAGCGTGCACCTTCTGCTTGATGTTTTTTTTTTCCTGTACGTTAGTGACCTATCCAGAAAGAAACCAAAATATTTAGGAAAGTCGACATGTTCAATGAGCATTCCTCGCCATTGGATATTGAGCTTGCAGCCCGCTTCTTTGTTGCGTAGATGAAATACGCAAGTTTGAGTCTTGCTCGGATTCGGCCTTAGAGAGTTAGCGTCATAGTACTCTTCCAAGCTTTGCAGGGCATTCATTAGATTGTTTTCAACCTGTTTGAAACTGACGGCTTGGGAGGTCAGAGCTAGGTCATCTGCATATATGAAGTGGGACGTGCGGGGAGTTGAAGGTTGATCGTTGGTATTCACATTAAATAAGACAGGTGCCAAGACACTGCCTTGAGGCAAACCGGTCTTTTGGGTTCTCCAACAACTTCTATCGGACAGAAGATAGACCTGGAATCGACGATTGTGTAGGAGTTTGTGGAGTACGTGGACAAATTTACTGTCATTAGTAATGGACTCCACCTTCCACAGCAGACGTCTTATGTTAACGGTATCTTAAGCTGCAGACAGATCAACGATCACAGTACCTGTAACCATCCCAGCCTCGAAACCATCTTCAATATGTTGCGTTAATTTGAGTGTTTAGTTGCTGCAAGATTTAATTTGTCTGAATCCAGCTTGTTCAGGAATCAGTTTTGAGTCAATCGAGCTTATTAGCCGGGTTAGCAGCACCCTTTGAAGTAACTTGTAAGTATGGCACAGTAAGGATATTGGCCGAAAGTTTTTGGGATCAATCCGGGGGAAAAGCCGGGGGATCAAAGAGTGTTCTAGGCAGTAATTGAAAATTTGCAGCAACCATGACACCGCAACAGGATGTTTTGGTTGCTCCACTGAGATGTTGTTGACTCCGGAGGCTTTTCCGCATTTTAGTTCTTTAATTGCGTTAATAATATCAGTCAAGTCAAAGGGCTTGCTGATATCGTTGCATATATTTGCTGTGCCGTTTAGCTTGGGGACCCTGCCGAGGCGACCCGGTGATTTTCCATTCAGTAAAAGCTGGTGGGCGATTTGGTTGGTAGTCACTTGGCTGGGCCAAGTTTCACTCGTGTTCGTTCGGTGAGAGTTCACTGGTGAGTTTTCGTATAGTATTCCAGGTCTTTTTACTATTTTGTGTCATATTCACGCTAGTAACAGTATTAATTCAGCTCTCCCTATGCTTTTCACCAATTTTTGCATACAGCTCTTTGCCCACTGCGGTAGTCCGTTCTGAGAAAGGGTCTGAGTTATACAGCGACTCGTATTGCCGTAGCAGTTGAGCAGCATCCTTCGTCAGTCCAGGGATGTAAGAGGTCCTGCACCCTCGAGGAATTAAAAAAATCGTCGAGAGGTGGATGATACGACCTCAACAAAACTGTTGTAGTTTTCCGGTATAGGCGGGACCATAAGCAGAGCATTATCGACGGACTGCTCAAAAAATACCCAATTACCTTTGGCGAAGTTAAATCTGCGTCTGAATGGAACATTGATGGATCGGACAATAGGCTGTACCATGCACATTATAGGTCTGTGCTGGGTACAGGGAACACACTTTTGACGCATTGTGAGCTGATGGAAGACGTAACAAAGATTAAGTCTGGGTTATAACCTTTTTTCCATTGGCCGCTGTTAAAAGAGGCCGATAATTTGGGATTATGAATCAGACTCAGATCATTTGTATCAGCCCACTCTTCTAATGCGTGTCCACTCAGGTCCGTGTCTTTGTTGCCCCACGCCGAGCCCCGGCTGTTGAAGTCTCCGATCACCACTTTAACAGGATGGTTGTTAAAATTATCTGGAGGGTCGAACTAGAACAGTGTTTCAGGAGGCTGGTACACGGAAGTTATAGTGCAGTTCCTAGTTTCGACAGTAATGACTTCGATGCCATTATGGGCTGAGTACGCGGTTGAGACAATGCTTACGCCGGGAGCAGCAAACACTGCGTTACTGTGCTTCGGATATGGGATCTCGGCGATAAGCGTGAGTCCGGCTATTTATGGATGACTCTGTGTTGCATCTCGGTTTCTTGGACGCAAAGAATATGACAATTGGATTTGCGGCAGAGATCCGAAAGAATCTCTGATTTATTTTGAGAGAACCCTTCGATGTTTACCGAGACTACACACAGAGCCGGATAAGTTAGCGAACTTGGTAATATTGGGTTTGCAATCGTGTCGAAGTAATTAGTTTCACGGTTTCTGCCGCTACTCACGTGGAAGGCCCGAGCAAAGGTGACGCTCTACGGAAAGGCTTACTACGTCCCCCTCAGTATTCTTCATCATTTATTACATAATAATTATTCTTCACTCAAATAGCAGATACGAATATATATTAGAACCGTCATAATGATATCCATGATAATCGACTAACCGTTTTGTAATCTTAACGAATGCTTTTCAAGTAATTATGACAATTTTCACAGGAATACTACAGAATATATTTTAAACAATGATAATGAATTAAATCGAGTATTTTGTTAATACATCACACATTAATTTAGATGGTAATCGTGGTCGAAAGAGTGACATCTAGTATCGAAAAGATGGAATAAAATGATGCTATATTATAATGTTTGCCTTAAATATTTGAATAAGCATATTTTCACCAAGAACGTATATAGAATAAACGGAAACAAATGTAGATATAATAGATTACACCAAAACAAAAATAAATGAAATATAAAGTAATGTGACAGAATTTTAATACATAAACAAATCATCATTATTTAACTTTGTGGCAACACTGAGGGCAATAAATTAAACTTAAATTAAAAAGTATTTTTGTCTATGGAAGAAATGTGGTATACTGAACATTGCTAATTATTTTCGTTCGTTTGCTTATTTAAAAACCATAAGAAAAACATTTAATCAAGTGCCAATGTTATTATACTCATTAGTGTTAAGAAAAACTATAAACGTTTTCAATATTTAGTGAACTTGCTTTTTGTGGCTAAAATGTTCTCAGGCAAAGATGCGGTCAATCCTGCATATCCCACGCAGTGGGCCTTAAATCCAACTGCTTATCAAAATATAGATACTAGTCAAGTAGACTGGGCTGCCTTAGCTCAACAATGGATAGCAATGAAGGAAGCCGCGGCAGTTGTTACTATACCACAACCACCTCCAAAACCAGATTTAGAAGGTGGTGAAGCACCAATGGAAGTTGAAAATCCTGAGGCCAATTGCGAGAGCGTCGGCCCTCCTGGAGCTGAATGGAATGCTACAACGAATTCGTGGGGAAATTCATGGAATCAGTGGGGTACATTATTACTAACCCCATAACTTATTATTAAACATAACTCACAAGCTGCAATTATACAAATTGTTATAATTTAAAACATCAAATGATGTGAAATATCTATCAAGTCCAAATGAAGAAACAATAATCTTTATTATCTAAAAATATAATGATTATAAATAAAATGTGTTTAACCCAATATCTTAAGTCCATTAACTGGCCAATCAAGGATCATGCATCCATTTAGCACATAAAGCTTATTTTTTATGTTAGTAAAGGGTATACAAGTAGGTGGATTACCTGGTGTTAATGCATTACTAACTTTAAAAGACAAAACACAAAAGTATAAAACTTTGACTCTATGCTACTCTACATATACTAAAGCAAAAGCTGCTGCATGGCCACAGTAAAAAAGAAAATTTGTTATGATATTTCCACAATATTGACATACATTGTAAGTTAGATTATGCCCACTATCAATAAAAAAAACTAAAATGCAATATTCATACCCCTCAAAGCTAATATATCCATAGCTCACATTATTTCAAACTATATCTTTATATGACATACATACATCAATTATGAATATCATTATATTCATTGGTATGAAAGAGATAAACAGTGCAAGGTACATGATCGCTTCCAAAAGACTTTAATTAATAATTACTTTAATCCAATTTTTGTTAACATTTAAATAACATTATTTTATTATTTTTTTATATTGGCCAGCATTTGTTCATATAGAAAATTGAATTTCATTTATTGTACATAAATGTAAATTTGATGTTAACATACAAATATATTGCATTGCATTGCTTTTGAGAACAGATTGAAACGGATATAATTTCACTTTTTTTAGTATCCTATTCAGTTATCAAAAATTTTGATATATCATTAGTGAACTACTGATATAAAATAGTGATATATTTATTAAATATATTATTTAATATACAGCATGTCATTACAACTGCAACAATAAATGAACACACATATAGAGGATAACTTTCTTAAATTGTATTAAGTATTTACATTACTTAAACATCAATATTTACCGAGTTATTAAATTATACAAAACAAACATTTTTAGAACACCCTTACATATAAAACTATAACGTAAAGTTTATTTGTAAAGGTCACAAAGCATATGAATGGGTTGAATGAATTTAAAAGAGATATAACATACTGTTAGAAGAAGAAGAAGATTGTAATACGACGTTGTGGCAACAAATGAAATTTGTATAGGATTTTATAAATTTTGTTTCTTTTTTTTAATTAGTTTGTTTGAAAAATATATTTTTTTAAAAATGAATTTTTTTTAATATTTGATATTTTTTTATTATTATTGGCAAATAGCGTTAGACATGTGTTCATTTATTGTCGCGGTTGTAACGACACACTGAATAAAGATATATTTTACCTAACTCAATTTCACATTATTATTATAAAAGTTCAGTACATACATATTTGGAAATACTTTTAATATAAAAAAATATGATATATTGAAAATTAACATATAGGATGGGGTTGGAGTGGTGCTGAACCAAAAATGCATGGGGACCCTTCAATGCCCATGGCACCAATGATGGATGGGTATCCGGGACCTCCTGACAATGCTACTGCTATGCCAGGGTAAGTAATACTACCACACTTATCTTTAAAAATTGTATAATACTGTTCTTGTTTTTGATATGATGTTCCCATCAATCTTAATTTTAATCTCAATGCCGTAAGTAATGAAAATTTTATTTGCAATGCTATTTGCTGGTTTGTCACATGCTCTGAAATGAAAAAAAAAACATTGTTCCAAAGCACATTAAAAATATTTATTGTATGGTAGGGCATGATTAGATACCATCTTTATAAAGGCCTTTGTTATTTATTGGATCAATGATGCAAGCACTGGATAATGTTAAATTATGTGCAGGGATAGATCAAATGTTTCTTGATACATGAAAATAAAAGATAGTTTTTTTGATATATAATACTTTCTACTTTTTGATCAACAACATTTTTGTAGATACACTACAGGAGCAGTGGCAGCACCAACATTCCAACATGGTTACTGGACAGCTCCTCAGGGAGATCAAAATATCAGTCGGGGTAACAGTAGAAATCGTGATCACAGGGCCAAGAGTAAGAATAGGGACACTAAAATAGTCAGAAGTAGGCCACAAAGGTATGTTGTAATTGTAATCAAATCCATGGTATAATTTATAAACTATGTAAAACAAAAAACGTATTCAGAGTAATACTGTCCAGTTTTTGCAATCTGTAATGTTTCTATATCTTCTATGTCTGTATTTCAAAATTGTTGCATAAAACTTATTTTACCTATTAAAAATGGAGTTTACTATGTTTTATTGTAATAACGGTTAAAAATGAAAAAGATTACACTTAATATAAAATATATTTGTTTATGATTTGACAGAGACAAAATCCCATTGATACCTCCAGTAATAGATCCTTTGACAATTCCCGCAATCGGTGGAGTGACAACTATTGATGCAGCTAAAAGAAGGCAGCTACCGGCGTGGATAAGAGAAGGTACTAAATTTTGTTATGCTCTAACAGAGTAAATTCTTTCATGCATCTACTATAATATGTGAATAATAAATTCAAAGTTCAGGCACTGTTACCCTGAGGTTTGATTCTTTTTGAACATTCAAAGTAGTTCCAATCAGATTTTTTTACTAGTGCACAAGTATTATCCATTAATTTATCCATCTTATATAAATGAATTCCTAACCCTCCTCTCTAAAAAAGGCTTCTAGTTTGGCAACATAAAGACCAAGACATTGCATGTAGATTTTCAAATTGATCAACAAATTAAATCAAAGATGATCTGCTAAATGTTCAAGAATGATCTGTCAAAGTTACTTTTTTTATGTGAAAAATTGCCAAGCTGGGAGACGGATCAACTGATGTTAAGTGAATACCGCTGCTCATGGACATCTGCTATACCTGAGGGTTCCAGATGCGTTTACAACCTTTTGAAAAGTGGGTTCAAGTTATAATAATATAATATTAAATTATATTCCATGTACAATATCAAAGATGTGAGTTCTTTTATCTTCATTGGGTTCTGATTTAAAGTTTAGTCATTTTAAAACATGTAGAAAAAGTACGAAAAGATTGTCGCCGCTGTGGGAATCGAACCCACGTCTTCGGCATTCGCGGCCTGACGCTCTAGCCACTGAGCTAAACGGCTGATAACCACAGCGACGAAAATCGTTGAAATTATCGTTCGAATTATCGTTGTAAAACGATATTCGAAATTGTTTGTATGCTGTAAAGGATATAACAATAGATGCGCCAAGCATTTCTTCAAATGCTAAATAACAATGTAGAAAGAAGGAGTTAAGATTTTCGTCGCTGTGGTTATCAGCCGTTTAGCTCAGTGGCTAGAGCGTCAGGCCGCGAATGCCGACGTCTTCGGCTTCGATTCCCACAGCGGCGACAATCTTTTCGTACTTTTTCTACATGTTTTAATGTTCAATCTTAAGTGCAGAGATTTAGCACTATAAAAAATTTTTAGTCATTTTTTCATTTTATTTATCAGATGTATGATATATGTATATACTACTGGAGAGATTTCAGTAAATTCTTTTAAGTTTTATTTCTTAGACATGTGACCCTTATTATCTATCAGTACTATGTATTTAAACTTGTATCTTTTTTCCTGTGGAGCAATGAGGCAACCAGTGTAGTTGTCAATATAAACTAAATCAGTATTAGTCTATCATAAATAATTTACGTAGTTTTTACATGGAATTAACGTGCGGCACTAAATAGGCCTGCATGCAGAAGTTAGTATTAAATGATATAATTATGTCCTAGGATTTAAGATAATTGCATTAATGCACTTGCAAATGCAATATTTTCAGGCTTGGAGAAGATGGAGAGAGAGAAACAAAGGGCAATTGAGAGGGAGCAAGAACTAAAAGAGCGGGAGGAGGCAGAAAAAGAGAAGAAGCGATTAGAAGAGGAAGAACTTGAGCGAATGAAAGCAGAAGCCAGTGGACAGCCGATGTTACCAGCTAAGAGCAAATTTGTATGTATTTTAATTACAAAAACCATTACTTTAAAATCTGTTCAAATGCAAAACAAATCACAGAAAATACATTACATAAACTGCTTTAAAAGTGTAATGTTTCTCATGTATTGTTTATGAGTCTTATATGAACAAGGAGTTTGCATGTACATAATTTTGTGACTATTTGCTATGCTTTCCTATAAGCTTTTCGTTATAAATTAGATACTGTTTGGATCTGGTAAAAACAAAAATACAAGTCCATAGTTAATTACTTACCGCTATGTTATAATCACTTTCTTCTTTTTCAGGACTCCGATTCTGAAAGTGAGGAAACTACTAAAGAAACAGACGTCGCACAGGAACCAGAAGAAAGTGTTGAAGAAAAGAAATCAGAAGAGGTATCAGTGAAGGTGGAGGAGGAAAAACCAACATTAGCCAAGAAAAGCAAGGAGGAAATTATGCAGGAAGTGGTGAGTTAACTACAGTATTAAATTCTAATGAGGGATTCATTAACTTTATCTCTATCTCCATCCGACACTAGGGCTTTGCAATATAAGGGGTAGTAAGAAACCCAAAAGAGTTTCTTAGACATACAGATATCAGAAAACTGTATGTCCCTTTTTAGAGTTTTGTTACCGCTGCTTCTATGGAAACTCTTGACTTTGCTCGGTGTCATGAATAGAGCGAGGAAGCTCGGTTTCTAACTGCCCCTCTGCAATTTCACATAGCGTAGCTTAAGCCACATGGAGCTCAAGTCATATCTGAACTCGGCATCTCAAATACTCTATGACCAGTTTCTATCTAATCATCTCGATTCTTTGTGGTTACGTAGATAGTCCTTTAGCATATTTTAGCGTCCCTATTCTGAAATATATGACATAAATACTTATGGACATTTAAAAATAGAATATGTAGATAATAGAATATGTAGTAATAGAATATTTTCCGCCCGAATGTGAATTTATAATTGTTTGTATGAGGCGGGTTTGGACAGGCGGGGAGGAAACTATGTGCATGGTTTCGAAATAACAACAGAAAAATAGTCCGAAGATTTGTGAAGTCTGTCAATCCGCAGTGAGTTCGCATGGTAGACTATGCTCTAATACCCTCTGTACAGGGGAGGCCTTTGGCCCGCAGTGGCACTTGTTTGGGCTGTTAACTCAGTCTGCTTTTTCATAAACAGATGTTTGCCGTGCGACGCTCGCTAACCGAGATCCTACTGGAGGTGACCGACCAGGAGATTCATACGGTGAGCCAGGAAGAATTGGCCCGATATAACGCCGCACAAGGTATTTCCACTCATATAGGCTTATACCAAACGGCCCGACGGTCAATCGCAAGAAATCTCTCTATGCGGCGAGGAATTCCCGCGCACTGACATTGACTCTTAAAACTGTGACATGATATCCGCTAACGCTATGTGAAGAAGAATTGTGTTGTGCAAACAAATGTGGTCATTATACCATCGCTAATAAAGTCTTATTTCAGATGTCGCCCCCGTTGAAATGATGAATACATTTGTGTGTGATTAATGTTGGTTTTATTTATATGGTAAAAGCGTCGCGTCTCAACGCCATGAAAGCAAGCAAGTCCAAGGCGCTCGCCGCTATCGCCAGTGGTCTCGGTAAGTTCCGTTCCTAAGGAAGGGCGTGCCCCTAAAACTGTCTCGCAAACTGGCCACTTCCTCATATAATAGGAATGGCCACCGCATTCGTTGGAGTTTGCCAGATAGTTCAATGTACATGGTGGTTTCGAGCGAAAAAAAAGTATTGGCCGTTAGCGACATTATGTCTACAAAAAAAAAACCAATCGAATACAGGCCGTAAAGAAAAAGTCAACATATAATTTAAAAAAAGGATTCCGTTAAATTTCAAAAAAAGAACGTGGCGCGTTCTTAGCGTGTTTTGTCGATCGAAACCACCACGTACGCGTTTCAAGTGTTTGATTTCAGCCGTGCGGAGAGTATTAAGACGTTTTTATAGTATGTGCAATGTGCGTATAGAGCGACTGTGTTCGAAATAATGTGTAGTGGAATGAAGTTGGTAAGAATAACACAGAATTACTTCTAGATGTTAAAGCTCAATTCTTGTGATATTTTATAATTTATTATCAACATAGGACAAACCCTTGAGATTTTAATAAAAAAAAAACTAAAAATAATTTAAATATATATACCTATGTATAAAACCTATCTTAGGAATTGTATATAGTGTTATCTTTCGCTCTTAATACCTATTTTGTACTTGTCCATAATTGACGCCAAGGATCGAATAAATATTTTGGAAAATTGTTATATCAATTTCATTGCATGTTGTTACATGGTCAAATAGGGATAGCCTTGGTGTACATATCAAGCAGCATTTTAGCTTTAAAAGTGAATAAAATATCATTTTACAAAATAACCTAACATAAATTGTAACTAACAAAACTAAGATTACAAAAATGCATCTTTAGCGATTTTTTATAAACCAATAAAATCGAAATATTTTCATTTGGATATAAAAAATCGTGCTAAGAGCGCAACCTACATTTTAAAGTATATTAACGTGTATTTAACATTGTATTTTATTTTTATTTTAAATTTTATACGAAGTTATACTCGTTCTAAAACAAACGAAAGAAATTACAAAAAACGAAAAAAAATTAAAAGAAATTACTCGTATTCGATTTTTAAATTATTCTTCAAATTCCAAGTGGGAAATTTCATTGGGTATGGCGTTCGTACGACCTATGGTCAGCACTAATGTCATTTGAAGCCGTATTTTCACTGCGGGGTTTATATTCTTTTTATATATTACACCCCCGAATAGACAATCTCACTGAGGTATTTACGGTTATGAATGTATACATTTGATATTAAACATACATAACTCAAACCAAACCTCATCCGCGTCGCTCTATTATACAATAATATTTTAATAAAGATGTCCGCAATGTCCATACTGCGCGGCGTTTAAAAATTGTTCCTCTTTGTATTATATGACATATTGAGTTAATGTTGTCACATCTGTCGATGATATAGAACGTATAAACGTAATGAAAAATTGTTTTATTTTTATTTGCATATTACTCAGGTTGTATAAGGCGCACATAATAATCGCAATAAATATAATTTATGTTATATCAAGTTGAGCTTTTAAAAACCAAACGAATCAGTAATCGAAATTAATATTAAATAATTACTTTAAAAAACTTTTAAGTTAAACGGTTTTATTTTATGTTTTTTTTTTTTTAATTTTTTTTTGTTAATATTGTATTGTCATCAAAATTAAATGTGTGTACCAAATTTCAGATCAATCTGACAACGGCAAGGTGCTTAATTTCAATTTCTAATTTTGACCCAAATAAATAAACAAACAAATTCCGTCCGGGTCGAGCTAAATAAAACCGTTTAATAATACGGAAAGAGATGCAGTCTATAGAATTGCAATCTAATTACACCAATTGGCGTTAATTTGAGTGCCTCAGTTTCGGTGCGCTTGTATCATATCTACCTCGTATATGTATATAATATCACTGCTAGATCAAAGTGAACCAGTCCAAAAAACATGTCTGCGTTTAGCATAATATATATTACGTAAAACCAATAGATTTGCCTTTTTGTTTTAAAAAATGTTAACTTAATTTCGTTGAAAGATATCAAAGCATGTAGTGTACGTATATTTTGGCGGACAGTATGTATAAGTTGCCCTTATTAAGTTTATTGTTAAGGTAATTCTATTATTTGCTGTGTACCAAATAAATATTGTATACCACATAAAAGAATTAAGTAGTTAAATGCCTGCTCAAATGTTGCATTGCCGATGGCGAGCCATTATCACAAGCGTCCGTACAGGGCTGGGCGCTTACGAGAGCAGCAGTGACAGTAGCGGCGACGAGGAAGACCAGAGGGACCTCTCCGACCAGCAGTTGCAGGTGACTGTCACGAATTTTTCATAATTTTTTTTTTATGTGAAAAGTTGCCATGCGAGCAGGCGCTTCACCCGATGTTAAGTGAAAACCGCCGCCAATGGACAGTAGCAAACTACAGCAGATGTGTAGCAGCCTACACCCGAGGGTTGCAGATGCGTTGGACAAAATTTAGGAAATTGTTCCCCAGCCACCTCACTCACCAGACGAAACGCGAAAATATTACACTTTCACTTTACGCCGGTCTTCTGTGAGGTCGTGATACTTACCCGGACGAGGCTGCCCATTCGCGCAATAGCCGAGGCAGCAATAGCAATATTAAATAATAAAGTAGTTGGCACTTAGGACTAGACACTTTTGGCAGGGCAGACGAGATCAATATACCTTGGGGTCACACAACTACTTTTGTGACCCACAAATGATTGATCGGCGCATGTTCACGTGAAAGGCGCATGTTCACGTGAAATTTATGTTCGTTAAGCGGTTTTTAAACATAAAATAATGTTATCCTACCGTAAGGGCAGTTAAAAAAAATATAGAAGAAAAGAATATTTTTTTTTTTCTAGCACAGCCGTTGCGACCACAGCATATACAAAGATATTTCTTTTAGTAGACTTTCAGTCATCCTCTTTAATATCTTTCTTCCCATTGAATCCGTGATTAATTACTATCCAGAAAACTAACGCCCTGTTTTTTAAATACCGGTCAAATGGCTGTGTTTCACCAATTTTACCCCATTTGCGTCTCGTTCCTACAACACCAACAAGAACTTAAGACTGTCTTACACCCGCGCGCTTACAGAGCTAATAGAATTACAATTACGAAGCAAAAAAAAAAACTAAACCAGTTGATGTTTTTATAGTCTTTAGGTCATAAACAAATTGATTAATATCAACCAGCAGTTCTTAATTCGTATTGCTTAGTAATTACTAATTCCTTTGAATTGGGAGATTGATAAAAGTTTTATTTCTAACCAGTACATCATTCATAACGGTTTATTAAAGTTTTGACTTAAACAAACTAGTTACTACCAAATATTACGAGTTAAATTATTAAATCTTTTCAATATAAGAAGATTCTCTTAGGAGCCATTAAAGTACGTAGATGAATTCACGTAATACCCCCCATGTCATTGAAATTATTCAAATAAATACTAATATACCAATATTGATTGAATAATCAAGTAAATTAAACATTTGGCTATCGTCGTTTATAATAAAACTATGATTGTATATTAATAATTTACCAATATTGAATAATTTCCTCCTCTATTAAAAGCATTTAGTAAGGTTTTGAGGTTTTAGTATATGGATACAGATAAATGTTCATATAAATAATTTATGTTTTATATATCTATGACAATAAATATATTACAAATATAAATTTGTAAAAATCATCGTGTCATTTCGTTAAATTTCTTCACGAGAACATATTTCTTTGCTTTTGATTTTTATTACAAGATTTGTTATATAAACAGCTAAGTGTCCTTGTTGAATTACATATTGGCATGCACCATGCACATAGATAAAAGGCATGTCATAAGTCATAATCTAAGGTCAAGGTAAAATACACGTCTTGTTTATCTATCATGCGCATAAAAAATTCATTATTCGAATTAATCGATAACCTATCTTACATAACCGACTATGTATACAATGAGCAGATAAATGTAAAGTTGTTTTCACAGAAATCTCTATCTTGTGTATGAAACAAGTCTGCATCCGTGTTCTCGAATCCCGACATAAAATTATTCCTTGTCCATGCCTTATTCCTTGCCTCAAACATTTTCTTATTACATTGTTCAGTATATACAGTAGTAATAATATAAGTATAAGTACAAATACTTCTGTGGGGTAGGTGGTCAAATTAAGAAATTCTGTTAGTTGTTTTTGAGGAAATCTTGAAGTACCTTATGCCCTAAAAAGGGTCCATATTTACACATCACATTGGGTACGACAACTCATTACGTATGTATAGCGTCTAGATTCTGGAAAATTGTACTACTACAGACCTTAAATTAAAATGCAAAATATCTTTAGCCAAATAGACGTTTGCGTGTTCTTATGTAACGTAGAATTTTACATAAAAATTGATACATAATAAGTTCGTAAGTAAGTTACCGCCGTTTCGCAAAGCAGTTTCTATTGGGAAGAGACCGGAGTAACTTTTATAACTTTTTACAGTTTTTCTTTTTTAAAAAGATCAGTTTACAATATATATATATATAGGTATAATAGTCTTATTTAACCTGCGTGAGTATAATATAATATCAGCAGTAACAAATCCACGCATGAAGGAGAACAGAACGGCCGGGTTGTATGGCGTATTTTGCTTGTGTGTAGGACATCATCAAGCGCAAGCGGTTGGAGTTCGAGCGAACGGCCAGGGACATCGAAGCAGAAGTGAGGAGGGCGGAGCTCAGGGAGAACGCGGAGGAGCCAACCACGCCGGTCACCACGCCCGAGAGGCCGAGAAGATCGCGTGAGACGCTCGGTTCATATTCGTAACGCTCACCAATTGTTCCTGGAATGCACCAAACTGTTAACTTCCGCCTATGCACGGGTTTGCGCGGTTAAAATTCTGCTATAGGATAATTATAGTGCAGCATGTTTGCTGTTTTCTACAAAAGAATGGCGTCGACAATTTTGCTTTTCTCATTGCGAGCGTTTCGGGCAATTATTTGTACATCCTGCTTGTTTCGGGTCTGAGTGTCTCTCTGTCTGTACAGAACTCTATTGAGTTCATTTTCGCAGCACAAATGGTATCCCTCAGTACCACACAGCATTTTAAACTCCGTACGTTTCGAACGCGCTAATAAGCCACGCCACTTCCAGGTTCTTCGGCAACGCCGCCGCCGGTGGACAGCGAGACGCCCGAAAAGGGTCTCGAGCGGCGGACGTCGAGGGACAAGAGGAGCAGCAACCACAAGCCGAGCGAGAAGGGCGACGGTATGAGACGGCTGGCGACCATACCAGAGGAGAGAGCGAAAAAGACCACCCGCTACGAGAACACGCCGAGCCCCAAGCTGAGAGCGTCCAGCGACAAGGACAGCAGCAGTTCCAGCTCGAGCGACTCGGACGACTCCTCTTCCTCCAGCGATTCGTCCTCGGACAGTGACGACGAAATCAAGGCGAAGTCTAAGAGGCGCAAGCGGCGCAGCTCGAGCGACGGCGACACCCCCAAGAGGTCGAAGCGGGCCAAGCGTAAGGGGTCGCAAAGGTCGGACAAGTCGAGGCGCGGCGAGGCTGCGAAAGCGCACCCGCAGAGGCGGGACCACCAAGACAGGCACAAGTCCTCCAAGAGCGAGAAGTCGCACAAGGACAAGTACAGGGAGGAGTCGGAGGACGAGAGGCCGAGGAAGCGGTCGAGGCGCTCGGTCAGCCACGAGTCGCGCTCGGGCCGCAGGAAAGCGTCCAGGGAGCGGTCGGAGGAGAGGCCGCGGAGGCGCGACAAGAGGTCGCACGGCAGGGAGAGGTCGCGCGACAGGCAGAGGTCGCGCGACAGGCTCGGCCGCGACTACGACAGGCACGACAAGCACGATAGGTATGAGCGTAGGCGGTCGAGAAGCCGCAGCCACTCCCGACACCGCCGGTGAACGTGAGGGTAACCGCGCGACAGGTTGTATCTTTGCCTTAACTAAGTATTCTGTGTGCCCCCGTACATTCTAGACGTGACGTTAGCGTAACAGTATAGGAACTTGATGTCGGCTCAGCACTGACACTAAATTTTGTATATATCTTTGATTGTTGAATCATTTGATGATTGAATGTTTGGTGCCTACTGGTGCTAAAAGAATTGTTTGTAAGCAAATGATTATAATTGTTATTTATTTAGAGATAGAGTAGATAATATAGTTTGAAATTATACATTTATATATAATCACGTCGTAGGTTTGTTTTATTTATGTGGTTTTTGATTTATACCAGACATTGAACCCGTTTGGGCTTGCGGTAAATAATTTTTAATTGATGCGAACGAAATAGTCGAATTATTTTAAGTGGATACCAATACTATAATACAATGTGTAGTAAGCCCTGAAGAAAAAATGTCTGTGTATAAACATTTTAAAAAGTTGTCAGAAATAGGTTTTAAATTAATCGGCTGATGTAATGAATGTAAATGGAAACTATGGTCCAATATTACAATCTACAAAGGGTCAAATCTTTTTTTTATAATTTTTATAAAAGTTTATTTTATATAACATGTTTCATTTCCACACTCCTGCATATCCATTAATAAAATAAATGTACCTATTAATAACACAAATTTACAGTGAATAAGTAATTACCGTGATTGATAAAATTATCCAACATAATGTAATCGACAGTGATAAGATTAGTTATGGCAAATGTAATAATTCTGTTTAAATGTAACTGTACACCTCTAAAGTACAATCTTTCATAAATTTGGTTCTTTTTTTTACATTGATAAGTTTTTAAATCTTTAATATGTTTTTTGTGTCTACCATATAATTTTATAATATTTCGGATAAACTCAATAAATATTTATCAAGACTATATTTCTGACATCTTCTTAAACTATTAGCCTGTGATATATTTTTTTTTATTTCCGTTTTCTCTTGCAGGTTGGAGCAGACGTAGTAGCGCTTACGTCTTTAATGTAAATATTTCTAGTGTTTGTTTATAATATTTAAAATGCATTACCATCAAGACATTGCATTATTCCAATAAAAATTATGACTATTATTTTGTCTTTCAGTCGCCTTGAAAACGACACTTATGATTTGACGTCAACAATCAAATACTTTACGGAATCAATGAAAACATTAAACATTATCGTGATAAATTGGGATGGGATTGATATTTTTGCAGTTTTGTATATAATTTCTGCAAGAAACATACAACTATTAAAAAACCATACAGGCATCTTGAAATTATATGCTCGGTGGCCAAATAAAAATATATTGTAAGAAACATTACATGGGTGAAGAGTAGATATTAATAACCATATGAAGGTGTAGATATAAGATTAATTTTAAACGAGCCGCACACTAATTACTAAGTTGATTTTACATGAATAGGTCAGCACAGAGGCGAAGGAAACTGGCATATGGGTTTAGCGAGTTATTGTGAGAGATATAGTGAGAGGCGCTTTTTTTCAACGATTAAAAAATATTGGCAGATGTATATGTTGGTGAACACTTGCTCCTTTGTCAAATCCTTAAAAATAAATACTTAAATAGGTTTCATCTGCATTGGGATTCTTCTTCGAAATATCTTGGAGAAGACAGGTCTATTATAGTGCGAGAAATTGCGGGACCTCGAAACACTGACGCGTCACTGCGGCAGCACGAAGCCACTACGTACGGCTATCACTACTATCCAATGGGATGGGGGGCCTAATCTTCTTCCTTCTTTGCCTTGTGTCTTTGGAATACTTTTGCCCAACTGTTGGTCATATAAGGTCAAATACAAGAAGTGTGATAAAATATCGTGTTGGCTGTTGGAATCTTGTCGGTCGGCAGGTATAAATCTAGGCTCTAGTGTCACCCAGTTCGATATTGATTGAGGCTTCCATGTATCAGACGATGATTTGCTTGTTGCACAATTACCTTCAGTTCTCATTTACAACATCAGTTATTAAGACCAGAGATAAGCATTTTATACCAACTTGGGGCTCCGCCACAACAAATCGGCTGCATACGACCATCCCTGTGCTAATCGCGTGAGACACTGGTATGAGTTTTCAATCTATTCAGGTTGAAGACTGCGCTACCGAGGTTCCCAAAATACGACTGCAAAGTACAAAGCGATCACAGCTGACGCGTGCACGTAGCCCTAAATTACGCTACAGCTCAGAAGAACTCGCCTACTCGTGTCATCTTGTACATGATGACATACGATTCTGTGGCATGTCTTTAGATCATTTTCATAAACTTTTCTTATGTTTCCAAGTTTCCTCCGTACAGTCTCAATTTTTTTTTAATAATTAATTCCTCTATAAGGTATACAATCAGCCCTGCCATCCTTAATCTTGTGAAAAACAACAAATAAAGCAGTTTTGAAAGTCATGGGGTCATCTCCCCACCCCAAATGGCCGAATTTAATTCTGATAGGTGAATACTTGGAAGTTCTCTGGATATTGTCAAAACTGTGGTAGGGCCACGAATGGGCCGGTCCACCCAGAGAAGCGCCACGATCTCGCAGAACTAGATTTTGCTCGAAATGTCGACGCCAAATATTCTGATACTGGCTGTGGCAGAGACAGGGGAGTGTACTCAAAATGGGGAGTTACTACAAATGCTTCGGATCTTGAATGTATGGATGTACATAATTTTTTTATAATATTTAATATAAACAGTTTTAGCTATGGTACAGCCACACAATAGTCTTCGTTGTTGCATGAATGTGCAGGTCTGTCTGGGTAAGTAACACGTCCTCACAAAAGACCGGTGTGAAGTGCAAGTGTTACACTTCGGCGTTTCGTCTGGTGAGTGGGGTAGAAGGCATCTGCAACTCTCAACTTTTCACATAACATTCACACAATAATTTAAAAAGGCTTAAGAATTGGGATAGAATTTCTACACCAGTGTTTGAGTATAAAAAATATGTTTTTGTGAGAAATTTTCGCAAGTTAATTATTATTGTAATAAAACAAAAGGTTACTTTTCATAACATTGAAGGAATTGTGCGAAAGTAAGTGTTAAACTTTGCTAAAAAGGATACAAATTGTTTTTAGCAAATTTAGAGCTTCGACCTCTGTTGTGAAAACTCATTCAATAATTATTCTCTACCATGGACATTTTAAGGACATATTTTACGAAGCAGAAATGGGAATCCGTCATGAATTTTATTGTTCTTGAAAATGTGTTTATTTATGTTCACGTATATAAATAAACACATTTTCAAGCTTTTCCTAAGTTTTTTTTATTAGAAAAAGTACGAAAAGATTGTCGCCGCTGTGGGAATCGAGCCCACGTCTTCGGCATTCGCGGCCTGACGCTCTAGCCACTGAGCTAAACGGCTGATAGCCACAGCGACGAAAATCTTAACGCCTTTCTACATTGTTATTTAGCATTTGAAGCAATGCTTGGCGCATCTATTGTTATATCCTTTCCAACATACAAACAATTTCGAATATCGTTTTACAACGATAATTCGAACGAGAGATTTTTAAATTGTTTATAGTGATAATCTCTGCACTTAAGATTGAACATTAAAATATGTAGAAAAAGTACGAAAAGATTGACAATCTTTTTTTATATTTAGAAATACGTAAAGTTAAAAGTTTTAGGTTTATTTAATGTTATGCAATTTATAGCGGTCGTTAAAAACCTTGTATTAAATTGACAAACCGATGGTACTCTACAACAGTGTCCGTATGGCATCGGAAGTTAACAGAATTGGGAGATGATTTCCGTTATTGTACTATGTAGACCCTCCCGTCGCTTTACATACTTGAGAACATCATGTATGTACGTAAGAATATCCACCTATTAAAAAAAAAACAATCCACATCGCGTCGGGGCCGTGGTGACACTCTGGAAGTACCGAGGTTTAGATTGGCTAAAACCAGAAAGTCGTTTCTTGGAAGATGCATCAACTTTTATAATAAAATAGGTGACATCCACAAACAACTAAGTATAAACAATTTGTAAAAGCTACCTTAATGGCAAGGGCCTACTATAATATCCAAGAATACATTGAGGACAAGGTTTACATGTTTGGAAATGACTCTTGCTCTGCACTTGCAAGACCCCTGGCTGCTGCTGATTTTATACCTAAATAAGTGTGTATAATTGCATCAAAAAAAATATATAACAAAAAGAACAAGACCGCAGAGTTTCTTGCTGGTTCTTCTCTGTGCAGGTCTAGTTTAGTGAACCGGTGGTAGATTTTTTGTTGACGTTCAATAAGAGCTTAAGTTAGGCCTATATTGAATAAATATACTTTGACTTTGAGACCGATTATTATCTTCAATTCAATTCTTCATAACAAAACTAGGCACTTTTGCCTTGGAAAAATAATTCCAAATCAAAAGATAATATTAAAAGCCCACGAATTCAAACAACAAACTGCAAACACAAAATTACATCATGATAATAACATCTTATTGCTTGCGAAATTACAAGTTAATGATTTCATGTCGTCGAATCCCAGTGGGGTGATAAACTTTTTTACATTGTAGGGTTTGTCACGTATTAAATCTGCAAATTCAATGAAAGGCACGAAGAATCTTTCTCCTACCCTTATCCCACTTATTTAGAGTCGCCAGAATAATTATGTTATCATATTGGTATTTGATAAATTGTTTTTTGTGGCCGGCCTAGGTCACCCAGGTCCGGGACGATTACCCGTAGGTCACACTAATAACTTGCCGCCGGTACCAAAGCCCGAAAACATAGAAAACATCCCTTTCTATTCTGTTACGGTTGAAAAACGTTATCGACTATTTTATTTTCCTCGTAGGTGTATATTAATACGTTGAATTAGCGTAACATCGACGTGGAAAGAGGCGATCGAGTAATTAAACGTTCAATAATCTTCGTTTTCAAGCTATGTACGTATTAAAAAGGGAAAGCTGTATATCATCGTGTTTTTTTTTTTTGTATAACACAATGGCCAGCGCACTCACTCAGTAAAGACCCTGCAGTAAAACACATGAACTGTAGGTAAAAGACGTGGGAAAATTGTTCCACGCTTTTGCTGTACCTAGTCATAATAAACGATGAAGCAAAAGAAGCAGTGTGTCGAGTATTGACAACAAAAGGATAGAGATTTACTCAGCGTCTAGATATTTGATTATGGAATGGAGAAGGAGGAATTAATTTGTATAACTCCAACACAGATTCTCCAAAATGCACGCATGTAGAAGGGAGAGGCTGCCCTACGCTTGTGCTCGAGACAAAAAAAAATAGGATCTACGCTTTATCGCACGCCATCCATTTAAGCCCTCTTTCATTCTCCCCATTTTTCTAAGAATTTGACTCCACATTTTTTTGAAGAATAAGATCTTCAAGTCTATACACGAAACAATCATATCCAGCGTACATATCGCACGCTTAAATGAAAACTGGGACAGATCAAAATTTTATTTATCTTTGCTTTCAACATAACACGTTCAATAAAAGCTCGGTAGATAACCTTTAAACAAATGTATGACAATTGATGAAAACGAGAACACAATCGAGGTTATTTTGAATTTTAGATTTGTATAGTGTTGATTGTTTTGAAAAATAAACACGTGTAATTCTAACTTTACTGGCTTTGGTTATAACAACTTTATTGAATATTTTTTCCTAATAAAATGTGTAATATATTCAGTAACTATAGCCTAAAAATCTCGTAACTTTGATTAAACAAAAAAAATCGCACTCGGCTCTGTGAAGAGCGTTATGAACACAAACGCGTTGTTCAAGCTTTCCTGCCGGTATTCGAAACCTGGATGGGTCGACGAGGAGATAGACTTACCTACAGACTTTCAAAGTTAATGACCGACAGATCGGATGTGAGGCGACCGCGAGCTGCGAGCTGCGGAGCCAGAGATGAGGACACTGCATCGCATACCAAGGCGAATTGTCCCGCGTGGACCACCTTCTGTGAGAAAGTAATAGTCCATAAAGAGGCTGCTGAGCGAGAGAGAGAGAGGCGACGGATCCTGGCTCCCGGATGCTCGTGCATCACGTCATGGTCCTTTAAATATTAATGATTGTCCCCTACCAGAAACAGATGCAAAGCGGATGCTTTGAAGGCAGCATGCTGATGTAGATACAGGTCCTGAATGTCTTGCCTAAAGACTCCTTTTTTTTTGGTATCGGGGGGGGAAATCTTCGAAAGATACTCTATAAGAGAAGGATAAACCTTCTCCGATTCCCTCACCCTCTTGCAGCAGCACGAGCTCGGTTTTAGCTATATATAGCAATTCAAGCTATCTAAATATATTGCTATTTTCAATAAAACATCTACGTCGATCACTCATAAATTTCTTATATGAGGTTATTTTCAGGATGAAGGTTATTACTGATTAGGTACTGTGAGAGTGACACAAACAATAAACTATATTGTACTTGTCACATATTACCTTCTTATGGCACTAAAGTCTTGCAGGAAGAGTGGGGAAACAATTTTTAATTTAGACAAACATCCTAAAAAAATTCTAACCTAATGCTTAGCTTTTTGGAAAAAAAAACGTTTGCCTTACTCTAGGATAACAAGGAGTGTTGTTAGGATGCTCTACATACATACACTTCACGTTGACAAACACCCAGATTCGAAAACAATTATCTGTGGATCACACAAATAGTTGTCTCGAGTGGGAATAGAACCCACAAGACCAGTCGCTGAAGGCGCTTGGCAACTGTCCCACGAAGTCATCGAGCCCTTTTTAGAACTTTGATAGCACGATATCAAAGTCCTAAAAGGGGAGGAAGATAATCCAGGTTCTTTATAAAGCATCGTTTATTATAATTTCTAGAAATATTGACGAAAACTATATCTACGTCACGGAGAATCGAACCCGCGATTTCCGGAATTTCGCACAGACGCTATAAACCACTAAGCTGGCTGATTGCCATGCCGACGAAAATTTTTAGAAAGCATTTCTAAAAATTTACTCTTTACAGCACACAAATTTTAAAAGGATATTTCGAACAAGAGATGTCGCCTTTCCTATTGAAATTAAATCAAAAGTACATTACAAAATAATTTTCTACTGTGTTTTGATAATGTTGTGATTTATTGGACAGTTTGTGGAGGTTTATTTTTGTTTTAATTATTTTTATAAGATCCAAACAGATTTTTGGCAAAAAAGAAAATCTTTTATTATAATTATAAATCTCCTATTATTACAAATATACGATTGGATTGTGGACTATTTTATTATTTATTAAACTTTTAGTGAACCAATTGAATTAAATTGTACCTTCAAAAATCTCAGTATCTTTTAATTTATGTGGTATATATTTATGTATTACTAACCTTAGAGAACGATTTTATTTGCACAATTACTTGAAAAACTGTTCGATATCATCATCCTCAACCATCTACCCGACTTCACACATTGGCCAAATTGTTCCTAACAACCATGGTTGAAGCTCACTCACGTTGGATAACAAGCAAACCGTTCAACTCCCAACGTAAGAGCGAGTGCATTCCCGAACAGTATTTCCATTGGGCCAGTGTGCAGTCAGTCTTAAACCCGATTTACAGCGAGAACATGTACAGCGGCCAGCATCCGTAAAGTGGCTGTATACCCTACACCAAGTCCAGTGGCATTTCTCTATCGAAATGGTTGGACGAGTAATGACAAACATACGTTAACACTACTACCTGCTTACACTACGGCAAGTGACGACTTTACTAGTCAAGTGCCCCGCGGGGGGTAAAGTGGGCACAGGGTAAAGTGGGGTGCGCTTGCACTAACAAATAGAAAAAGATCGTATTTGGGTCTATTTCTAACTTGTTTTTTTTTATGTGAAAATGTGGCAAACGAGCTGGCGGTTCACCTGATATTAAAAAAAATTCAAATGATGAAGTGATAACCGCCGCCCATGGACATTTGCAACACCCGTAGGGTTGTGCAATAGTGAACTGTGTTGCGTGGCCCCACCACAGTGTTGACTTGCTACTGTCCGATGTTTTACACCACTGTACTTACCTACTCCACTAAAGTTCGAAGGTTTACTAGCGACTTCATGTCCTCTTTCAATATGATGGACAACCCTCCTTGGTCATGATTAGATTGGCCCCAGACATAGTAATTATAATGCTGTTGTGATTACTATCATTAGCTTAACGAGTCCGTTCAGGTTGCAAGCATCCGGAGAAATCGGCTATTATTCCTTTACGCACTATCGGAGAATAATGCAAGCTTTAAATCATCACGGTGACGGACATCAAATGTTGTAACAAATGAAGGAAACAGATATTAACCATGGAAGGTGAAGCAGTTTCAACCCAACACTGGACAAATATTTTGTGACCCGTGAATAATTATTTAGAAATAATAAATTATTCAATATGTTACGTAGTCTGTACTATACTTTTATTTTAATGCAATTACTTTACAACTGCCTTTAGTAGCTCCAAGACATTTGTGTCAGTATACAGTTAAAACTTTTTATGGGAGAAATAAAAATCAACACTTTTTAAAACATTATATTAATATTATGATAAATAGGACTTTCATTGGACAATAATTGTTGAGTTAAAACATTTTGAAATTGAAAATAATAGATTTTATGCAAAATCTTTTAAAATGGAAAATTAAACAGTAGTAAAATTATGAACAAGTATATTTTTACCAATTCTTATTGTTACACTTTTCTTTAAAATGGTTTTCTCTTTATTTTTCTTGAAACTTGTGTAGATAAATGTCAGAAAAATTTAAATAGAATATCATACATGAATATCTCTATAACTGTAACAGCAAATATTCACATCTATAAAGCCTATAGAGACCACTTATGCACACAATCAACAAAATCAATTTCATTAAAATTCCACAAGTATATAATAAGCGCAAATTCACAAATACTTTAACAAGCAAAGTAGTAAAATTGCTACAAACTGTATTACAGTTTAATAAATTACAAATTCGCTAATAGTCTAAACTTAGGCCTGATAGTTATAATGCATGCCTTTTTATTTACCATATCTCTGATCACATTTATTGTACTTATACAATGCACCTATATAATTATTAATATTTACACTATGATCTAAAGAGAGTTGAATGAACTCACTGAGTCTTATTTGCCATGGCATTAGACCATAACTGCAACAAAGGGGTCCAGTATATAAAATCAAGTCAGGGTCAGGAATTGAAGAGTATGTTTTATTTAATACACTTCCAAATTCTTGTGTTGTAAATTGTAACGTTTTCTTTTTACATTGTATCTGACCATTAGCTATTTGTTTAATACATTCAACTATATGTGGCTTACCATCCTTATAACTAAATATATTTATAATTACAGTATTTGCATCTTTTCCATAGGTATAACCATTTAAATCAGGTTTATTTAACCATTTTATACAGCCTGGTATTCCTTTTTTATTTTCCTCTATTGCCTGGAACAGCTTCTCTTCATTTTGTTTTAGTTCTCCTATAAATTACATATAATGATATTAATTGCATTTAAGTTCGTTGTTGACGAAAACGTACTTTAATTTAATAATTTTTCGTAAATATTAAAACAATATTTACCGGTTATGTCGTGAAAACTGACATAAGATATTCCAGTGATAAGGCTCCAAATAACCAGACGCGCCAAATCACCGACGGTGTGATGGTTAGAATCCGCAAGCATTACAACATGCTTTAGCCTTTTCTTCATTTTTGGTGTATGTTTTAATATCATCATAACATCACTTTTTGTCACGTTATCATTGTATACATTACGTCTTTTAACCCACAACCGGTGATAAAATTTTTGAACAGCAACAAGTACATTTACGACAAAATGCACAACTATATACAAAATTTGTCGAATTAGTCGCGATAGCATGTTCGATGGTGACAAAATTCCATTTGATATTATTTTACCATTTTAAGTTAGTTTTATAGAAACTGACGTAAGGTCACACGATTATTTCTCAAATGTGTGATCACATTATAAATTGTGCTGTCAGTTTCTAACTCTCCAATCATAGGGCATTGGGTGGAAAAACAAGCATACCAACTTACCAACATTATCAAAACTTAGGTACGCTCGTATGAGATGAGTAGTACATATAAATATTTATATTACATACAAATACTTTTTATTTAATTTTATGCATACGTACCTAAAATAATTAAAAATTGTCATAAGAACAGACAAATTAATTTTATGTTATTGTAAAATAAAATTAAATATATGTTTTACATTCAAACTTAGTTTAAGATAATTGATATGGTAGAAAAGATTCAAATAATATTCATACAAGTAAACGTGTTCAAATATAATATATTTATTTGAAACAATACTTTTACTAAAGATATTTTGACGTAATTTGCATGACTTCGAGCGTATATGTATATCCGCTTCCGTTCTGCCATTATTGTTTCTTTTTCTTGTCAGTCTGCGCAAGCGGGTTAGTAATTTTAGAAATTGTATTATTTTAGTATTATCGAATAACATTAGGTGTGGTTAGGTGATTCACATTAATTTACGTTCAATTTTAGATCTATTTAGTTATTATTTGCATGAAATACGACCGATACAAGATGTGTTACATGTGATATCAGTATTTGTCACGACCACGCTGTCAATGAATGTGTTTTTGCAGGTATTTCAAGATGCAGTTGCATATTAGAGGCCAATCGACGCACGTCCTAGACGTTAATGGACAGGAGTCAATCGGACAGATCAAGGTATCGTTCGTTACCATGTATTTGATATTACGATCTTCCGTTTCTTATTAAACTAACCTATCTATACCATCGTTGGAGGATTGAATTCCAACAATGCATCGAATTGGCTTGTATTTGTCCTTAATGTAGTACAAATAATTACTGTAATGTGTACAGTAATTATTTGTACTACGACAAATCAAAGTTAATTGTAATTTTTGGTCTGATATGTTTACTCACTGCTATTTATTATAGTAATGTAAGGCAAATCACCTTTGTTTGTATTTTGTACAGATATCTTTATTTTGAGATTTATATTGATGATATTGGTTTTTCTTAATGAACAAAAACCTGTATTTTTACTGTTTACAGGAGCGTATTCGCTCACTTGCCGAAGTTGGAGATGACGATATGACACTGTCCCTATGTGGTGCACCATTAGATGACACCACCCTTGTGTCAGACCTTTCCTCAACAGAATTAGACCTTACAATTCCACTACTTGGTGGTAAAGTGCATGGATCCTTGGCTCGTGCTGGTAAGTGAAAATAATCATAATTGTTGATTTCAACATAAGATATTATTTAAAATGCATTAGTTTCATTTGTAATTCTGTAATTAGGAAGTTGGCCCGCCATTGTTTCACCTGATGATGAGTAATACTTGCCGCCCATTGACATTTGCAACACCCATAGGATTTTAGATGGGTTGCCACCTTTTTATATAGTGGGTCTCAACTATCTCGCTCAAAAGATGAAATGCAGGTGTTTAACATTTCCACTGCAACCCAATCTTCTGTAATGGCATTATACAAATAAACCTGTCCATTTGTGCCACAATGAAGACTGTTGGGTGGTCCTACCACAGTGATGCATTTAACTTATACATATTTTTGCTATTATTTTTTTTTTTTCATGAATAATATACCTATATTTTAAATTAATCTTTGTAGGATTATTATTTGTTATTTCGTTTTTAAAACTATACTTATTTTATACAATTATGATATTTTTATAATGTTACACGAGAATGAAATTCACTAAGTTAAGAGGCTAGATAAGCTTTTGATAATTATAACAAAATAAATCATACAAAAAGATTTACTTCTTTTACATAAATTGTTTTATTTTCTTCTTTTACAGGTAAGGTTAAAGGCCAAACCCCTAAAGTAGAGAAGCAGCAGAAAAAGAAGAAGAAGACTGGCCGTGCCAAGCGTAGGATCCAATACAACAGAAGGTAATTTATTAATAACATCTTACTTAAAAGTATTATTACATTACTTGCAATTAAATGCTACTTAATGCTTCTTTTGTTCTTTTTCCAAAAATGTACCTTAGAATAATTGTAATGTATATTTCTTCCATATACAGAAAAAAAATGTTTATTTATACAGCATGTCATTACAACCGTGACAATTAATGTACAGAAGATAACTTTTTAAAATTATGACAAACATTTACATTCTTAAACTTTAAACATCACTATTTACAGAGTTATTAAATTTTTAAAAACAAACAATTTTAGAACATCCTTACATATAAAACTAATTTTCAGTTAATTTGAAAAGGTCACAAAACATGTGAATGGGTTTAATGAATTAAAAAGACATAAAAACATACTGTTAGAAAGAGAGATTTGTAATGCGACACTGTGGCAACAAATGAAAAAGTCTCTGAATGTATTAATCAGTCAGTTGTAGTTGTATAGGATTTTTGGCAAGTAGCGTTAGATGTGTGTTCATTTATTGTCGTATGTTTTATATCGTCGACACGTAAATTAAATACATTGCAATAGTGTTAAACAAAAATACTTGGTTGGTTGATTTGTGCATGTATCATCATATTCCTTTATTTTCACAGATTTGTCAACGTTGTTCAGACATTCGGTCGCCGTCGTGGACCTAACTCCAATTCGTAGATTCATAATGTAAATAAAATGCAAATATAACCATCTCTTGCAAACCTTTTTTGTTTTATTTAAAACATGTTCATGTGGGCTTCCTAATCTTTCGAAAAGAATTTTTTTAATGTAAGAAGATGATAATCGCCGCCCATCAATGCAGTATAACATTTCTTCTTCACCCCGGTCATCTGTGGGGTTATGGTACTTCTCAGGACGGCGATTCATGTTAGGTTGAGTAAAAGAATAGAGGGGAGATAGACAAGTCTCATTGCATTATTCCATGATTTTTTTAAGAAAAGGCAGTAATGATTGTTTTTGATGCTAAGTGATCAACATCATTCATGGTTACTCCTGCCATCCTTTTGGCAACTCAAATGACGTTTGAAAATTAATTTGACAACTGATTAGTTAACTTCTACGATGATCACGCCCGGTTTCTGATCATCGTAGATGTCGACTAATCAGCTGTGAAATGGCTGCTAAAACGATGGTCAAACTGAATCGACCAGAATGATCTTAAGGATCAGAATGATCAATTCAAATAGATTAACCATCCTTTTGGCAACTCAAATGAAATGTGACAGCCGATTAGTTAACATTTACGATGATCAGTGTCTCAGAAACCGGCCGTTAGTGTTTCAGAAACCGGCCGTTAGTGTTTCAGAAACCGGCCGTTAGTGTTTCAGAAACCGGCCGTTAGTGTTTCAGAAACCGGCCGTTAGTGTTTCAGAAACCGGCCGTTAGTGTTTCAGAAACCGGCCGTTAGTGTTTCAGAAACCGGCCGTTAGTGTTTCAGAAAACCGGCCGTTAGTGTTTCAGAAACCGGCCGTTAGTGTTTCAGAAACCGGCCGTTAGTGTTTCAGAAACCGGCCGTTAGTGTTTCAGAAACCGGCCGTTAGTGTTTCAGAAACCGGCCGTTAGTGTTTCAGAAACCGGCCGTTAGTGTTTCAGAAACCGGCCGTTAGTGTTTCAGAAACCGGCCGTTAGTGTTTCAGAAACCGGCCGTTAGTGTTTCAGAAAGGCCGTTAGTGTTAGTGTTCCACAGTTTACCGCTAAAATAATTATCTTTAGTCAACCATTTAGGTCACTTCGCTCCAAGAACTGAAATTACCGACGGGGAAGAAAATTTCTCGACGAATTGTCGACCACGAAATTGTCGGAATTTGTCGACCACGAATCGGTAGATAAGCGTTAAACCTCCCACTAATTGACGATGAAATCCCATAAGTGGTGGGCAACCATTGGATAAATATGGCAGTGGCGTTTTCTGTGGTAGAGCCAGGCAACAGTACACTGTAGAACGTGTACGCGAATTGGCAGGTCCGACCGAGGAAGTACCAAACCTCACAGAAGACCGGCGTAAAGTAGAAGTATTATGCTTCTGCCTTTCGTCTGCTGAGAGGTGACGGGGCCCATTTTTTTGATAGGTGGCAACGCATCTGCAACCCTACGAGTGTTGCAAATGTTTACAGGTGGCGGTTATCACTTCCATCGGACGAACCGCCAGCTCGCTTGCACACAGGCAACAGTAGACGTCTTCTGGTTGACGATGGTGGCGGTCGAGTTTACTATTACAGAAAAATTAGATTTTCATCCATTAAAACATTTCTGAGAATTTCCATCCTGTTGATAACATTTACATTATTTACATACCGTGATATTAACATTCTTCGACTTTCTATCAAACATACTCTCTTTATTAACAATTGCAATCGAATTTGAAATTTCGATATGCGAGAGATATGGTCTCATATTATGATATTAAATAAATATAATTATAAACCTTTTAGGGCAATATGTAATCTTTAACACGTTGCCTTTCCCGGCTTTTTCTGGATAGTAAAGCCGGGATTATTATGATTAAATGTTATATTATAAAGCGCATTTAAGTACTAAACAAGTATATTTTATGCTCCATGTTAGTAAAACCCTGAAATTTCAGCATCCATTAAATGTAACGCACGGGCGTTGTGGCTTGATTTGCGTGCAGTACATAAATAATCAATGACATTTAATACTACCGATATGTTCCTAACGCGCCCGGAGTGACACCACCAAAACGTACCAATTGGAATGTTTTCGTATTTAGTTTTACAGCTGTATTCATATTTCTACTTTTCAAAAGTTTTCTAAGACTTTGGTCTCTCGATCGAGTAAACTTTGCAAAGTGGTGAAAAACGTGCAAAATGGCCGGAAAACCACGTATAAAAATGCGACTTATTTTGGAAGATAGTGATGAAGAAGCTCAATTTGTACGCAAAATGGAAGCTTCAACCGAATGTAAAGATGATTTTGATACAGTTACTTGAACTGATGATGTCGAGAATAACCTTTTCCTGCTAATGGAAGAGGACATGGTAACCATCCAAGAGTTCATCGCAAGCACCAGTTTAGGTAATGAAAATGCATAGATTTTTTCTAATACTGCAGCTGCTAATTTCTTTACCCTTGCTGCAAGTCCTGGAAATCCTGCTGTGTGCTGATAATTCCAATGTACCTGTAGCTTTTGCCATCTAGTCTGCCGCAAATTTTACCGTGCCTGCTAATAGGATTATTCAGCTTCCTACCATTTGGCAAAATATTATAAGCGATTTGTCTGAAGAAGTTTTTATAGGTTATGGGGAAGGTGAACGCAAACAACGTGTGTTTTCAGAAAACTGATTTGTGGACAATTTTTTCACAATTCGTGAACATGAACTTTTGAAACTTCATTACGAAATGGTAGCAGATTTAGAAAAAAATATGTAACTATCGATAGATGTAATGTTTCTTATGTCAATGAATAAATGGTTTTGATTTTGAATGGATGTAGATGAAACAAACAGATATTATGATTCCCAGATATACGATATGCCGCCGTTTGAGCAGATTGTAAAACCAGTTACTGATGAGATGCAAAAGGTCTTGTCAGTTTCCCATCAATGGAAAAGTGTTGGAAAACGGGTAAATTCTATTATTAGTAAAACGCTAACCAGGAGATGGATTATACAAAGTCCAATCGTTAGTTGACACTATTGACAGACTTCTATCTAGATTTCGAAAGGTCGCCCATGTCGAGAAAATTGTCGTTGATGAGTTGACTGTTGGCTTTAGAGGAATGCTCTCATTATAAACCTTAAAAAAAGCAACAAATACGGAATAAAACTATATAAATTATACACCGATACTGTTGACACTTGGAGCCGTTTGCCGTAGCCGAGGATTGACATAGGCCGAGATGTGATCATCTCACTATTGAATATTTATTAGATAGACGAGGTAAGGACTTTGATCACTGGCTACTACTACCCTAACATCCCCTTAGCCAAATATCTAAAGGAATACAAAACTGAATTATGCGGTACTGTTCGCAAAAACCGACCTACCAAAAGCAGTTATCCAGCAACGAATCAATCTGGGACAAAATGATTTAATCACAGTTTTAAAATGGCATGACATGTGCGACGTTCTTATGCTGTCCACTTGTCACAATCATCAAATGAAGTTGTCAAGGGAATCCCGGAATGTGATGAAACACAAAATATATTTATCAAGGCAAAAAAGGCAGACGTAGCAGACTAGCTAGCCAGGTAGGACTCGACGGTGCAAAAAACATATATTTGTTATAAAAAGATCACTGCGAACCTGCTGTGTATTAGCGTTTTTTTTTATGTGAAAGTTGACAAGCCAGCAACGCGTACAGTCCAGACAATGCGTTTTATTTCGTGTAGGGGCAACTTGGGTATTATAAATTTGTTTTAAATATTCGTCTAGAGCCGTGTGAACTCAGTTGTGCGGGCGCTCACTTTTAATCAAAATATTCGAGCAATCTACTTTAAAATACCGGTGTCGGCACCAATAAAATTATTGATTTTATGTACTGATTTATCACGTGCTCAGCAGTGAAGAAACGTATCGTGAGGAAACCTACATATTTTCTAAATAATGACAAATAATAATTCAAAGATGCCTACTATGACTATGCCTCTGTACAGAGGAGGCCTTTGCCCAGCAGTGGGACATAAATAGGCTTTTTTACATATTTCAGTGTATATTACTCCAGTAGTCTATATACTTGATCTGTAGTCTGTACTATGGCAGCATAAACAAGAGTGCAATATGAATCTATAAGCTTCTACCTCCTGGTACAACGAGCGAGGTAGGCCCTTTTTTTCTAACATCCTTTTATATAAATGAAACTAATTTTACGGATTTATCGCGTTTATTTTTTTAATTTTAATTCCCGACGTTTCGAACCCTTTACAAGACAAGATACAATTAGCTCCCTCTGCATAGATAGGACACAAAATTAATAATGCAAAGACTGACGGTAGCCCGGGTTAACGATGACAATCGGACGTTTAACACCTCAGTCTGTCCCGTTACCATGAACGCTGTAAATGCCACAGCGTCGCATTACAAGCCTCTCCTTCTAACAGGATGTTTTGTCTCTAATTAAGTTTTTACTTAATTTTAAATTCATTTGTAACACCTTCAAACCCTTTCATATGCTCTGTGACCGTTTACAAATGAACTTTTACGACCTTTACAGTTTTATACGTAAGGGTGTTCTAAAATTCTTTGTTTTGGAAAATTTAATAACTCTGTAAATATTGATGTTTAAAGAAAGTAAATGTTTAATACAATTTTAAAAAGTTATCTTCTATATGTTCATTTATTGTCGCGATGGTAAAGACACGTTGTATATAAAATAAAAGCGGAATCATATAACTCCATAGTATGTGACAGCCATTTGGCATACTATCATTTTTATGTTCCGGTCAACGGTATTACCACAAAAAAGATAAACAACAGCGATAAGGTGCCTTTTTTTACTGACTGTACTTAAGTACATAACTTATTTAACATTCATATATATATATATATATTGGGTATAATTGTATTATAGGAACTATCCCATGATATTAGTCTATACTAAGGGCCCGTTTCATTGTTCTATCTTTGTAGATTTGGTAATTACCGATAGGAAAGTATTTGATATTCCATAGTTTCATAACCTACTTACGTCAAAATTCTATCTCCAGTAACCAAATCTTCAGAAAGGGATACCTAATATTGGAACCGGCCGTCAGAATATAGTCGATGGATCAAAATTCATCTGCATTGATTAAAATAACCACGTAAACTGCTTTAATAGGTGGTTTTCCGATACAAATAAAATTTTACTTTTTTTTACATACAAATAATATAATTTATGGCAATTATTTAAAGTTGCCTATAACAATAGTACTAAAGGAAAAAAACTATATTGAACAACACATGTTATATTCATTATAAATTTACAGCAGCGTGATATAAATAATATTATCACTTATTTATGATCTATTGGGTAAAACATATCATTCTCATTATATCACTACAACGTAATTGCCAGTCAGCAATGTACTCGTAACGTTTAAAATCATACATAGTACTGTGGCGACACAAAATTCATAACATTCGTATTCTTCAAAAAATCATAATCACCAATAAGACATTTTATTATATAATTAATACAACATATTTTCATCAAGTTTTAATTTGTCACGATCATTTTAATTCTTATTCAAGTTTATAATATTTTCCCAAAGATACATGTTAAAATTGGATGATTGTTTAAATAGTTTCAAGAATTCCGAACGCAAAGAATTATCAGGTTTTGTTTAAATCTCATAGCATTAAACTAAGGATATTATATATTTAAGAATTGTTATTACTTAAATAAGCAATAGCAAACCTTATTTCGTTTATCTGCTTATGTGGAAGTATTCACGTTTAGTAACAGCGAAGGAAAAATATTTAACTTTAGTAGGTATCAAAACAAGACACAAAATTAATTATAAAAAAAGTAAGAGGTCGACGTTCTGAAATTATTTATTGAGATAAAAAAGACCAATGACTATGATTTCCTATTTCTGAATAAATACTCTATTATTTACCACAGCCACAGATGTACTTATTATATCTATGAGTTCTTATATTCAAGACAAAATGTCCTTAAATGACAATTGTAAAATGAATACAACGGGCATTTGGAACTTACCGAGAGTACGAAAAATGTAGTATACAATAAACCATGATTTATTTTTTAAACATTATAACCTCATCTAAAGATAATTATGTAGGTATCACTATACAATAAGGCACGAACATTTATAACAATAACCTAACCTAAGAATATTATAAATCACTCATCATGCAAACTGATATGCAATACCTATTAAATTATAATAATAATAGTCTTAAATATGCATTAAGCCTATGGATAGGATATAAAAAACACAAAGGTACTAAAAATCGTACATTTGTGTAGCACCACACAATCGCGGGAGAGAGTACATCACGCAACAAAATTGAAATGTTTCTACAAAATAAATGCCGCTAAATCGCAGCATCGTCAGCGCTGGTGTGTACCACTCAACAATGTAGGTACCAATTATGTAAATTGGTATCAGATCATCGCACGCTATATGAACCTGATTTCGTCAAAGATCGACCTTAACTGTACATAATATATTTCGAGTCTTTGTACTTTCATCCACTAACCTAATTATTAAATGCATTTATCCGACTTAATAGAGCCATCGCAATATAAGTGGTTTTTCATAGTGGGGAAAGATTTCACTTTTTAATATTATGCTTGATGATTTTACAACATGGCTACCATATAATCGTTACCATATCAAAAAAAAACTGACACTAATTACACTAATTGAGTTTAGAAAATTCATTTTATGCCGTATTTTAAGTAAATAGCACCAGAACAATTGGAGTATATGTATTTAAAAATAGTCTCTAATTAGTGATGTATATAATATTATAATTGTTAATTATGTATAAATTTTAAACACCGTCTAAAAAGTTTCGGTTATGCAAATGTATACATAAATATATCGCAAAATACATGTATAAAATAGGAAGTTAATGCAAAATTAATTTTGCATCATTAATGTCTACATTTTACTTTATACCAATCAACACGATAGTTATTATTTTAAGTACAATTACGCATTTTGCATAATATTTTTATTAAGGGAAGCCCACTGATGTATAAGTACGATGGCTAACTTAAATTACAATTTTCCAGGATTTATCGTGATGTTGAAATTAAACCGGACATTTTATGATAACGGATTATTCTCCTTCGCTCTAAATGGACATTGAATAATTTAAATTAATTTCATTGGGGATTAGTTTGCAGTAGTTTAAGTATAAAATAAACTACTATAATACCCTGTAAATTTCATCCAAACATTCTCAGGTACTATTTGGTAGAATTTAGACAGATTTTGGTCTCGGATTTTCCATCTTGTGTTTTCCGCACAGATGTGTACGAACTATTGGATTCGTAGACTCGAGTTCGGTAAGGCATTTAAGTCTCTTGCGTTTATTAATAACAAAGATCAGACTTTTGGCGAAGTCGTGAGCTTGCTTCGCGATTTCTCCCATCTGCTGATATAATCCACTGGATAGCACATCACAGCGGACAAGAGGAGGAACCCGCCTGACACGTAGAACGAAAAGTCGTAGCTCTTCGTCAAATCCATGAGAACGCCTGTGAATAAACAAACCATATATCGATTACAATTAATTTTGATTTAAATAATTTCGCTCTTAAACCGAAATAGAATAGGTGAAACGTAGACATGACTTTGTAGTGGTTGATATCGATCTCAATGATATAATGTATTGGTCATTTCTATCAATTAACGTAAAATAATTAGCGTTCAATAACTACTGATTATCGTGAATATTCCTAGGCATTTTAACCAACATCATAAAGATAAACTATAAAATAGAAATAATATCCGCATCTGAATATAATGATGAAATAAAAAAAAATGTCTAAAAATGCGTAAATACTTGATAGAAGAGTATCGGGGCGATCGCTATTTATTTTAATATACACAAGCAAGCTGAGTTTATATCCCAGTGAGGGTAAGATGCATATTTAAAAAAAAAACATAATTAGAAATAGTAAAACGCATAGGCCCTAGCATACATAAGTCCACGCTCGGCAAAGTATACATAGTATACATAGGTCTTTGCCAAACGTGGGTCGTCTACATCCTATACTTGTTATATTACTTGTTCTTCTCCATTTCTTTTATCCAAATATTTAAAATTCAAATTCAAAATATCTTTACTCAAATAGACACTTTCGTGTTTTTATGAAAAGTCAAATTTTACATAAATAATACATAAGTTCGTAAGTTACCACCGGTTCAGAAGTCAGTTTCTGTTCATCGTTTTAAAATGTGAAATAACTTAATACTAACCAACCAACTCTAGAAATATCATTCATACGTCTTTGCGCGTATCGAGCTATATTTAACGAACTGTCGCACAGACATCTGTTGCGACACAGATTAAATATAGCCTCGGGGCGTTCATTCAATGACCTGCAGGAAATGTATTATCATTCGGAGCGGGAGTTTTGGCTCGCTGCCGACGCATCACATCAGTCGGGTGCGCCAGCCATTATGCAACTAGTGACAGAATGTCGGGAGAAAGAAATGTGGACACGTCGAAATCGGCCAGTTTACGACAAGTGACGAGGTGTTTTTGGCAGTCATATAGTAAGATGAGATAGTAAATGTGTAATTTTATTTTACTCCCATGCGTAAATCGATTGTTTTTAACCGACTTCAGAAATAAGGTTTCGTTAGCCGACTTCAAATAAGGAGGTTTCTCAATTCGAATTATTTTTATTTTTTTATGTGTGTTCGCGGATATCTTCGTTTATTATGAACCGATTTTGATGATTCTTTTTTTCTTGGAAAGGAGATATCCCAAGGATGGTACCATGAAGGAAACCCGGATGATGGCATCCCAGAGAAATCGAGGGCAATCCAATGTTATAGGCGTTAACGATGTTTTTTAGAACCGGTTTGAAATCGTTTTTTTTTTTAAAAATGGTGTAGATCGAAATACTTTTTACAAACTTTTATTTTTTAAGCTTTGATAAGGTGGTTAAATCTATTAACTATCATTTATTTTTTTACCTTCGAAAATACCTATAATATTGAGAGTTATATATTTTGCCCTTAATAATAACCTAGTAAATAACTTTAGCAATCAGATAGATTCTAAAACTATATTTTCAGAACACATAATAGTTATGACGTATTTCGAGTTTCTTTAAGATTATTGGGTGCATAATGAATAACAACTCACCAGCGATGGGGGCGCTAAGAAGTGCACCAAATCCTTGGAATAGGAGAAACAGTCCGAAACAGTTGGTCAATTGCTCCAGGCCAATATATTCCACGACTAGAATTGATCGGAGCGAAGCGAAACATGCTGCGAAAGGAATATATAATTACTGATAGTCGGTCAAGGTATAAATATAAAAAGAGTATTTGTGTCTCAATGAGAGAGCATGTATATTTAGCTAAAAATTTAATAATGTATGTATATGTGTCCTTGTGTTTTCATCGTGTTGGTCTTTTTTCTACGCATCAGAAGTAAAGTTCATAAAAAGCGTGCCATGCTTTGAAGTTGCTTTATAAGTTAAACAAGAGAATTTACCAAAATCACTCTGTGTCAATTATTGTGTGAAGGTTTTTATAAAGGCGCTATATTCAAACAAGTCGAACTCACCGACGGCGAGCCCGAAGACGACGCAGTACGCGAACTGGAAGGCGCTGTCGTAGCAGAGGCCGCTCAGCATGGTCGCCACGCCGCCGGCGGACAGCGCCACGTTGTTCAGCCACAGCGGCGACACTTTGGGCATAGAGGAGACCAGGCCGCAGGCGACACGGCCCACGATGTTCGCGATGCCGATCACCGACACGAGCATGACGCCCGTGTCAACGCTCAGCCCGTTCGCCTCCGCGCGCTTCTTCACGTACACGTACGGCACGAAGAAGCCGAGCATCGTGAAGAAGCCGCTCAGCGCTAGCACGATGAACGTCGGCGACCTGAACAGGCTCACGTCCAACATGGTGGCGAGGGTCCGTCGCACCGCCTCCGGGCATAGGCTGCACTTCCCGGTGGCGTCCTCCAACGCGTCCTGCTTCGTGGGCACGTGCGTCACCGCCAAGTGGTAGCCGAGCGAGGTGCGCGACGTGTATTGCGGGAGGCGGGCGAGGCTCGCGCCGAAGAAGATGTCGTCGCGGTAAAGGGGCCGCGCCACGAGGTCGGCGTGCGACCGCCTCTGCCTCTCGCCGTGCCTCGTCGCGACGCGCACGCTCGACGCGATCAGCGGCTCCGCGTTGTCTATGTTCCCGTTCGAGTCCTCCTGCTCGTCCCTCTCGGCGACCGTGCCCGCTATGAACATCGGCTTGGCCGCCAGGTGGCCTTTGACCGTACTTGCGGTGGCGGACGACCGCCTGCCGAGGTGCGAGCTGCTGCCCCTGAACACCTCCTCGGCGGTCGGGTAGCGCGTGTTGTTCGCCACGCCCATCCACGTGTGCGGGCTAACTTTGTTCGTGAAGCGCATCTCGGCCGGCATCGATATGCCCGAGTCCAGTTTGTTGTGCAGCTTGAGCATCGAGTTCAGCTTCTCGACGGCTTCCTCGTGCCGGCGGGCGGTGTCGTCGACCTCGGTCTGGTCGGCGAGGGTCACGCGGACCGGTTTGATTGGGCGGAACAGCGCGCCGCACACCAGACAGAACAGCACGAACCCTGAAGGGAGTATTGAATATTAGTTTAAAAGTAAAATTTCAAACTAAGAGCTGATTTTAAAAATAAATTACTTTTACTTTTCTTCGTCCTTTTGATAGGCGGTAACTTCTTAGTAGACGGCTCATTCAGTATAGCAGGAACGTATAGTACGGTATATGGTAATCCGTCGTTGCGATAAAATATGTATATGCAGTGCTAATCATGCCGTTCAGTTAGCACGACCATTAACGAATTATCGTCTAATAATTTTGCTTGTGTAATAATATGTCATGGATAACAAAGAAAAAAATTGTCATTCATTCGCGGTGATAATTAATAACACCAAGATGACTGAGCCTTTACTATTATCATGCTGATAATTGTTCGGGGCATACATAGTTATGTTTTTATATTCGTTTATTCACGAATGATAAAAAAATATTAGCTTCAGTGTTATTTTTCTATAATTAAGTTGTAATCGTGTGTCTTTTTATGCCTTGTTAAATACAATTTATTTTCTATAGTACCTATAAATTAAGACTTGTAAATGTGTAAAACTTATAAATGGCTTCTTAAGTACTTAAAATCATTTAATTATTTTTGTCAATAGCTGTAAGTTCTCCGAATAAAATAAAATAAAAAATAAGTTTGTAATTCAAAAGAGAAATACTTATTACATTACAAGTTATTTTATTGTTTTGAATTTCGGTTGAGTGAGGTGCAGTGTCCAAAGTTGAATTACAATATCATTTACATAAAAACTAATTGTACGCAGTCCAAAATGTATGCGGTAAAGATAAGAACTTCCGGCTGACCTTGGTATCACGTGACAAAATTTTTCCGTATGGACCACTATCCGATGAGTGCTTATGAATAATAATTACTTTTTAATTTCACAGCACTCAAAGTAAACATCGCTTTTTTCTTATGTCCAATGTTTCTCATTTATGAGAGACGTGGATCGCGGCAGGCTCGTCAGGCTTTGGTAAGTACCAATTATGTAAGTACATAATTTATGAAATTTTAAAAGCTTGGCAACATATATAATCGTCTAACCCGTTAAAGTTGAAAACTTAACTGTCTGTCTCTGTTATATTTACTTGTTTATATTTATTTAAAACTAGCTACCCGGGCAGACTTCGTTCTTTTTCTATAAAATTAAAACCTTCCGTGGACCTTAAGAAACATACAAAAAAAATTAGCCGAATTGGTTCAGCCGTTCTTGAGTTATGCGCTTACTACCATTAACTTTTATTTATTAAGATAATTGTGAAACCCACCGGCGTGTATGAGCATCGTTACTCTCCACCCGCAATTTTCGATGAAGATATTGGTCAGCGGCGCAAAGACGAAGGTGCCAACCCCGGAGCCGCAGAGTGCCAACCCGGTTGCCAGGGCACGCCACCTCTCGAAGTAGAAACCGACTGTCAGCACTGCTGGCATGTAGATCATGCAGAAGCCAATCCCTGAGAAAAAGAAAACATGCAGTTCATCCCAGCTTACAGGTGGATATCACTAAGGACTCACAGGATACCACTAAGGAATTATCAGGACCTAGCGCGGAGAGGGATCCGCAGAATATTATCGTATTACCATTTTCCATTAGGTTATCCCCTTTTTTGTTCATATCTTCCTGACTATGCACGATTATAGGCAATTTAACGCCGCCCTACATTAGCAAATCGTTATTCTCAGTCAGTCGCCAAATGTTCGCCTAGTAAAGCTTAACTAACGATTTCACACTAACAGTTCCCTCATCAATTTTTTTCCCCAGTTTTTCATATTTTCTTTCGTCCAAACCAACTCAGCAATGCTTCTTTGACTTTCCTTATAATTACATTAATTCATCTTCGACTTCTATAATTTCATACTATTTGCTAATAATATGAAATTATATAAGTATATAGCATCATGTATGGCATTAACTATAATTTTGGGTAGGGTATATTTTTGAGCTTTTTCAAGAAAAAGAATTTCATCTCTTAAGAAGTTAAAGTTTCAATTTATTTTAGAGGCTACATGATGTTTTGTCTACTGATGAGTTCGTTAACCCCATTCAATGACGTGATATCATTAGAACGCGATACCCGACAAGTGCATGACATACGGAATCGTATAATGAAATGACTGTTTGTCTTTTATTCTAACTTTTTACAGTACCTAGTTAGATTTTTATGTTCATTGTGCATTTGCTACTAATTTATTAAATATTAATGTTTTTCATAGTAAATTTAAATGACGGAATTATTATTCATTGTTATACACAAGCCACTGGATATTTCTTAAAAAAAGATTGGAACAAATAAAATGGATTTATAGTTAACAATAACGATGGTTGTTTGCGTACAACCTAAAAACAGGCCAAATTGGTTCGAACAGATCGTCGTCCTAGACATTCTTTTTTTTTCCGGAAAACATGCTGCTAAAGGAATGTTTAACATGATAAAGTATAAATACAGAACAGTTATAAATAAATTAATATCATGATCTTAACAAAACTATTAAACCGATTTTATAGTTGTGAGTTGAGTTGTTTTCTTTTTCTTGTTCTTGCTTCTCAAAAATCGTGTATTTTTTGTCTCAGTTTAGACCAGGGTGAGATGTGTGTGTAATCCAGCAATCACTGATAGAACTAAATTATTATGAAGGAATATTTTGTTTAATGTACTATGATAGAGGCTGCCTGTTTCTTTAGTGATAAGCGTGATTTATTTTGAGATCCATTTATGACAAATTTACACTACTTGTAACAGCGAAAAAGATTCTCCAAGTTCTAAATTCGTGAGTATAGTATACTTAATAAATTATGATCTTGTTTAAATGAATCGAGGGTGAAAGAATCAGGCGTTACACTACTATTTTTGCTGATTTACAGAAGATTTGGGTTATTTTATTTAATTGCTGATGGCACATGAGCCAATGTTTCACTAAAGTTAGTGATAATCGTTACCCACGAGCACTAGGAATACCAGAAAAAAATGAAACCTACCGCCAACCACGCCGAAGACGAGATAGAGGTACTCAACGCTGGTCGCAAAATAGGAGAGGGCAAATGCAGAACTGGAAATGATGCTCCCCAAAATTGTTACACTTCTAAAGCCATATCTGGAACAAGACGAACATTTTTCATTATTTTTTATCCGTACAAAACGTTATTGGTTAGTTAGTCCAATATATTAACCTTCATTGCATTGTGTGCAAACCACAATGTTTGGACCGCGAACCAATTTGATAAAGTTCAAGCGATCCGCAGTGCTGAACGCATGGTTTTTATCCGATGCGAAAATCGTATGCCAACGATCAGATCTTCGAAAAGATCGAATAGGATCGGCGCATCCCTAGTACATTTGACATTTCATATATAGGTACATATATGAATATTTGGTTACTAGCGATAGGTATTTGACACTATAATACTTTTGTCAAAATTTTATCTCAAATCGACAGATAGAATACGGAGACCGGCCGTTCTATTCAAAATTTTAAAAATTTATATCTATGTTAATTAAAAATTATGGGTGTAAAAATATATATGTTCACAGAACTTATACCTACATTGAGTAAAGAAGAATAATCACCATCCCTGAAGGTTATAAAGGAATGACATAAGACTTCGCAGCTTATTATAATATCACTAATTGGATAAGTTGCAATAAACTGCGCTATTTCAAACCAATCAGTAAGCTATGGTTATGTGATAAGGTATAAAATTATTTAACAAAACTAGCGGTGGTATTTAGTTTTATTACTTACTTATTAGCCAGAGCTGACACGAACGGGCCCGCCAGTAGATAAAAACCGGCTAACAGTGAATTGACGGGTGCCACAGCTCCGTCGCTAACCTGTTGGGCAAAAATAAACCTTAAGTGTCAAAACATAAGTCATAAAAAGTATACTTATAGAAACAGATACAATGGTAAAGCACGCTTTTAAAATTGTAAACGATACCTAAGTTAAATTTTAATTTTAATAAAAATAAAATACAATGTCTGGTATTCGATTCGTAGACATGGTTAGTTACAAAATTAATCCAAATAAACTATACGTTACATGTATCCCTTTCTATTCCATCCAGTCACCTTTTTACTATCGGTAGAATTTGAAACTATAAGAGTCTTGTGCGCAACTTTGACTAAAAATAAGACAGCACTGCATCATTAATTAAAAAAAAAAATCAATATACCAGGAATGGATCCCGCTCATTTGGGGAAAAATTTTACTGTCAACTACTTAGATACGTCATTACTTTTATATTATTAGCGACACTATCAAATGGTGTAATAATGCAGTAGGTGTCAGTTTTTTTCAGTAGGTGTCAGTTTTTTTCCCAAAAGCAACAACTTTTTCATGATTTTTCATAATTCCACTGATACAGTTTTAGTTTTTCCACACTCAAAATTCACTATGTACCTCATTCATGTAAACTTTACGATATTAATGACTTTAAACACAATATTGTTCAGTTTATGCACGTGTGAGTGAGAGAATCATTGTACTCAATGATTAAAGAATATTTCCTAAAACGTATATGATGGGTAGTAAAGTTGAATTTTAAAGATTTTTCGAAGCGACTGTATTAACGGAAACAGTTTGGTAGTGCAACTTATTCCAATTTTGTTAACTCTCTTATTTGACCCACTGGCCTTGTACGTTGACAGTGTGAAGTCACGCATTGTGCTTTATTTCAATTAAGATGGCGCCAGTGGGAATGCAAAAAAGCTTAAAATTTCCAACAACTAGTAAACGGTACTGAATGAAGTTAAAAACAGTGTAATCTACGGTACTGAATGAAGTTAAAAACAGTGTAATCTACAAAGCACTACTTTTATGGGAATACGTGCTTTTAAACAAGCATAAGCATTAGCAACACCACAAGAACTCTTTCGAGCAAATAATATGCCGCCTTTATTGTTTATGATAACATTGTCCAAGATTTTTATAAAAAACCGCACCGCACTCATAGTAGTGGCAGTCAAGGTGACCCTTAAAATGTACATCGAAAAAATGAGGCGTAGTTCGTTCGTATTAGGTCATGTGTTAAAAAATGGCGGTGGAATTATTTAATGAAAATGTTAAGGAAAAGGTCAAATTTTGGCATTAAAAAACGAGTCTGATTGATTTTTTTTTAATCAAACACCGCGACAGAATTTGGGAATGACATTTGGAACTAAAATACATTAGCGTAAAGTACGTATGTAAGACTTTTCAGTTTGCATAAAAATGTATTTAAACAACCTTTAATACTTTTAAACAAACTATAAGCCGTTGTAATAATATATAATGTGTTAGACAATTCCCCATGAAAAAGAAAATATTTATTGAACCGAAAAAAAGTCCCAACCCTAATAACCCGACACGTCAAGGAAACTGAATCTTCATAGATTTATTTTTAATTTTATTTTAAAAGAATATAATTGTCTTTTGCCGAGTTTGCAAAACGTGTATAAACTTATGTACTTCTATATGTATACGTATATGGGGAAGCGTTAGACTGCATTGACCCGACTGTATCCCTTTATTTAATAAGCTGGCTAGTAGACTTAGCTTGGCAGCTTTGCGGTTAAAAATATAAGACAGTGGACTGATATGGATATGGCTCGTTTGGTATATTTTAGTTATTTCCACAACGGCCGACATAAACACTACCTTAATGCTGCAAAGGAGAGCTATTCAAGAAGTTTATAACCTGATCCCCCAAGAATCACAAGAAATTTGTTTATTGAAATAAAGATAAGAATGAACTTTCAAGATTTAGTAATATACATGATGTAAATACTAGGAACAAACATAAATTAATTCTAGATGGAACATAAATTAATCCTAATCTAGATTGCGTAGAATAAGTAAATCTTTTAAGGAATAATGTATACGTTTTTACAACCAAATTCCGGAAAACGTTCAAAATGCTCAGTTGCTAAATCCAAACAACTTGTAAAGGAACGCTTGTGTGCTAGAGGCTATTAAAGTATTAGTGATTATTTTGATGATAACACACTTTGGAAATTAATTGATCGCTCCAGGCTCTTTCAAGTGGAATTATTCAATTCCACTGAGAAATATAACAAACATGTACTATACAATATATTCATATTGTGTACACTTTTTTTTATCTTTAAAAAAAACATTGCCATTACTTTAGGATATCATTATCCTGCTGTAGGGACGCTTTACAGATTCATATGGACCAACGCCCAGATGCGAAACAATTATCTGTGGGTCGCACAATAATTGTCCCGTGTGGGTATCGAACCCACGACACCCGACGCCGAAGCCAATACCTTGACAACTGCGCCACGGAGTCCTCAAAAATTTGTTAGGTCAGTGGCTTTTGACAATCAATAAGTGTAATGCAAATATTTAATAAAGAAATTTGAATTTAATAATATTTAAAAAGTCTGCGACCTTAATAGAAGGAAATCAATCCGCTTACTTTTAAAGACGCCAGTACTTAAAGAGAAAAAAAAAAAGAAATGATCATGTTTACAAGTGACCTTTTCACCCCTTTGTGCTTTAATATATTACTAGTTTCAATATATAAAAATCTGTTTCATATGATAAAAAAAATAAACATCAATTCAAGGCTTTGAATGTACGAAACATTAAATTAATACGCAAGTAAATCAACTTGTTACACTCTTCAACATAATTTTAATTCCGCTCCCATTATATGGTTATATTTTAAATGGTATCATTTCTCCACACAAATAGGCATCAACACCATAATGCAAGAATTTATTCTTCATTCTCTTCATCATTCAAATTTGACATATTATTTTGGATTTTAGATTTGAATTTTATAGGGAAACATTACGCGTATGAAAGCGTTCGAATTTTACGAACGTTTTATACTGAAGGTGCCAAGGTCCGACGTATTCAAACAAGGAGTTTGATAAGTTAGGGACAACCATACTTGTAATTGAATTTCCTTAAAACGTTGCTCCTTGGTTATTTACTGGATAAATTTATCAGTATAACAATAGACCAATATAGTAATATAATAATTTCAGGATTTTTTATACAACGTTATCTAATCCCAAACTAAACAAAGCAAGCTTTGTACCAGGCTTTTGTACAGAGATACCAGAAAAACAACATGTTCATCACACAATATTTTTCCAGTTGTGGGGAACCCATTAACAGGTTTAAGAAATTTATTAAAAGAAAATTTTATATAAAGGGTTATTATAATACGAATGAATGCATTAATGTCCATAACCCTTGAGAATGAGTTGATCGCTCCCAAGCTATTTCTAAAAGGAAAAAAAATCAGTTGTACAATATTTTAATTTTTTTTAAGAAAAAAAAATGAATTACAAAAAAGAGGATACCTACAGAGTTTCTTTCGCCTGTTTCTTCTCCGCTAGAGGAACCTCATTACGAAACGGTTGTAGATTAAAAAAAATATGACTATCGATAGATGAAATGTATGTTTTTTATGTCGATGAATAAATGATTTTGATTTTTTTTTGATTGAATCAACATCCTCTGGCGCAAGAGACAAGTTGACTATTCACTACTGACATAAGGTCATCAATATCTAATCAGGTTTTTTTCTTCTGATTTTATCTTTTGTCCCGGTCTCCGAAATAAGATAGATACGCGTTTTTGTTTTTTTTTTTGGATAAAAAGTATTTTGCTCTCAGTTTAATATAATTGTTACGTAGTCTGAATATTAATCGTCTCAATCACGGTTAAAAAATTTTAGAAAGAGTAGTTTAAACTCTTGCTATTTTCGACTACCTAGTCTAGCCTGTTGGTTTTGTCGAAATGAAAACTAAAACTGCCGATGGAGATAAATATGCGCCATACAAGTGTTTTTATAAACAAGTTAAAACGGTCAGCAATAAAACTGGCAACTTGTTCGTACCAGAAAAAAAAGACCTTGCAATGTCTAGACTTGCCTTATATGCGCCTGTGGTCTTCGTATTAACTTTTACCGAGACGTGTTCGACGCTAGGTCACACCGCTTGTCGTTTGTCTAACGGTTCTTACATAAGTTAAGTCTCAGGTACTTAATAGTACCATGTGACCCTTAGCAATTTCGCTATGTCCGGTTCTAAAGTCAATAATTTTAAGCATCTTCTGTACGGGATTCATATAATGTACTTATGTATATTGGTATTAAATATTTCTATATCTTTGTAAAAATAAAATTCATTTCGGTTAAAGTATTCATTAATGAATTTACTATATAAAAATTTTAACTTTTTATTTATTTCATTAATTACAAACTACATTTTAAAAATAACAGTGAAAAATTACAATCAAACGAAAAAAATCGACAATTCAAAATTACTTCCCCAACGCGTAGTGAAATCTTTTATCAGACATGCTAATAAGTCAAGACACTTAAATATGAAAAACGTGTTTTGAATATTATTTTCAAAATTAATGTTGCTGCATTATGTCGATAAAGTATACAGTAAACAGTACACTTAAAAAATCCTTTGAATCTATAGCGATGAAATCTAAATCTATAATCAAGAAAAAAATGCACTTTATAACCATCATGACTGTATTCGATTTATTGTCATGAGAAAAACTACTTATTGGTGGCACCACATTAGGCCTTGTTTCGTAACGTTCGGATAGTTTGCTTAAAAAATTCTTTCAGACTAGACAGATTGTTGGCAAACATCCAACGGCTGCGCGTGGTGACTATCCGAACGTGTTCGTTTTAATGTTCGTGGCCAATTAATGGTGTATATTTTAATGTAAACATTACAATAGTTTTAAAATTTTGTTGAATGAATTTAAGTAACCATTTTGTTGGATATTTTTATTGTAATTAGCCAATTACATCATTCCAAAAATTTCAACATGTAATACCTAATGCAATAAT